TTGTTTTTGGCGCCAGGTGGACCGTCTCTTGAAGGGTATCGCACACTTCTGGTGGAAGCAGCATGAGGAGCCCAGCCGGACATGTTGCGGCTGGAAGACCTAGGTCAAAAAGGCTTTTGATTGATTTGGAGTCAACGTTTCATACACCCACACGTTGCCGAAGAGACCTTTGCGATTGGTGCTGGAAGGAAGAGCTCACCGAGCGGCGGAACGAGGAACGGGCACAAGTGCGGTTGCAATGAGCTTTTTCGTAGCCTGGCAGGGCAATCAGAGTGCCTTAGTGGAGACTGCCCAAGGTGAGTCACTTATTTGGAACGTGGAGCTGGGTTTTCAGGCTATCCCGACTGGACGTAACCTGCGCCGAGGTGAGCTCAATGGCTTGGAGTTGCAGCGCACGCTGCTTGGGACGGAGGGTCTTCACAGGCCTGGATGGGGGGGGGGGGAGCGGGGGAGGTCCCTTCACAGGCCTGGATGGGACTGTGTTTTTGGAGGCTACCCTTCTCAGGTGGGTTTAAAGGGAGACCAAAAGGAAACCAGCCGTTTCTGTGCTTCCAGATTGCCATGACTACTATGATTGATATGCTTGCACCGCAGGCTGCTGTATTCAACTTTGATGCTCTACAGGCGGGATCTTGTTTTGCAAGAAGCAGAGATTGATGTTACAATGTGGCAAGCTTCTTTCGTTTGACAGGTGGTGTAGAGACGGCAACGAGATGACACTTAACGAGTGGGTGCAGTTAAACACCGGCATCGAGGCAAGCAGGTTGCGATTTGGGCATGCACCACACTCATGGATGGCAGGGCTGCGGAAATGACATCCCCTTGCACGTGCAGATGGGCATTTACAAGGCCATTCTCTTCTTTTCATCTTTTCTGCCATCAGTTTCCACATTGCTATGAGTTTCCGGAGTTGGCCCCTCAAAACAGTGTTTGGTGGGCTTTTTGTTGCCCAAGATGATGTCCACAACAACCCCCCAATTATTACAACTAATGCCCCCCATGCGAAGCTGCGGTTTTTGGTTTGGGTTGGACGGAGGCGGCGCTCAGCGAAGACTTCTCCCTGGAGGCCAGCCGCCCTGGGCCGCCCTTCAAGACGCCGCTGGCCTCCCTGCACGCGGCGGTCGGAGCCCCGGAAGCACGTGGCACGTGGCACCACATGGCCACGTGGCACGCGCTCCACAGGGCTTTTGGTCAACTCCCCATGCTGGGTTTGTTGTTCTTTGTGTCATGAAATGGGGAACTTCAGATTGAGAATGAGGGAAGCCAAAGGGTTGCCCGTCCGCTATGGTCATAGTCCCTTTCGTTGAGGCCGCCAATGGATGTTCCTTCCGTCTCTCGTTGAGGCCTTTGTCCGGTACCACGGTCGACCCCAGACCGACGGAGAGGTGGCGCACTGGCCGCAGGCGGGGGCTCCGATTTGCAGCTAGACTCGAGCGGGCCCGCAGCCAGGCTTCTCCACATGTCCTTGCAGCCGAGGGTGGTGTGCTGGCAGCTGGGAGGAGGGAGTGCAAACTGGAAGCCTTTGAGCCAAGCCGGTTCAAGACGCGAGAAGCCCAGACGCTCAGGATGTCTCCACAGCCCCCAGGGCCTCCCGAAAAGCTGCGGAGAAGGAGGGGATACCGAAGTTCCCCTTCACATTCCTGCCTATGTCCAGGTCATTGACCGCGTTTTCCCAGCCCTTTGATGCCGGTGGGTCCAGGGCCCAGCCCTTCAAATTGCGGTTGGATCCAAGCCCGGCTGAGATAGGTCCGGCCGCTTGGACGAGGAGGCTGGACGGTACCAAGAGATCAAGGCAGTGAAGTCCGAAGTCCAAGGTGACATGGCTGCGACTGCATCAATGGCCTGGACCTGACATTTATCACCTGAAGTTCGAGGGACATCTCATTCCTCAGGCTGCTCTTGCTGGCTTCGGCGGAGAACGCCGCGCCATTCGCCTTTGTTTCGCTGAAGCCCTGGCCCCAGCGTCTGACTGCCCCATTGTTTTGGTTCCTTGTCTAGAACTCCAAAAGACATCCATTTTGTTTTTCCATTTCCAAGTTTGGTAGTCAATAAAAACTCACAAGAACCCAACATTTCGTTTCCCTCCAACATTTCCCCCAAGAAGGGGTCGAGTTCGCCTATCTTGGTGGACGCCCAGGAAGGCTGCGCTGATCCGGGCCGATGCTCGTGTGCTGCAGATCGTCCTGGCGCGTGGAAGCCTCAAGAGATCGACCCGGTGATTCCATGAACCCCGTGTTTGCCCATGGTGGGGGGGGGGGATGGACTTTTGCGGCAAGTTGGTTCTAGATGAAGGCGGTACCCGCAAAAAAGACCCCGGCACCTCATGTTTTTTGTCAAGAGGAATGATCCGTGGGTGAAAATCAAACCACCAGGAGACCGCACAGGTGTAGATCCTTGCTTCCATTTACCAGGGTTCCATTGTTGGGGGTAACGCGATTTTTGAGCGACACCCCATTGGCTTTTGGTGCCGAGGTCGTGTTGAAGGCGAGTGGCCAGCGGTTTGGTCCTTGGACTCTGGCGAAAGAAAAGCTGCGGCCATGTCACACGAGGCAATGGTCGATGACGACTGGCTGGAGCGCGGTACTCAATGGGTTTGTCTCAAAGTAGAAAGCCCTCAAAATGGTTGGTTTCCTTTCTGGTTTCGTTTCAAACCAACCACGCTCAACCGCGGGTGGCAGTTGTTACCAGGCGCCTTGGAGGCGCAGTCGATCTGAGGCTTTGTTTGCTGCTTGGCGATGGCCGCTTCCAGCTGCTCGAGGCCGCGGAACCGGCTGATCTGTTGACTAATGGAAGGGCCACGGAACCCACTGACCTTACCCCAGCCCCAGCCCCAAGCCCCATCCGCAGCCGTGGTAGGGTATGCCGCGCCCTTACCAACTCCTGCCAAACACATCGATTGCCAGGCGCCGGAGCTTGTGATGAGGCAGGCAAAGAGCTCTGACCTTCCCAAGCGGGCCGGATAGCCTGCATGGTTTTGTCCACTCACCTCTCGACCTGCATGAGTGATGTTTGTGTTGGCAAGTTTCCTTTCAGGTTTTGAATCCACATCAAGCAAGATCGCTGGCACGCACAGTGGCCATTTTGACCCAGCCTGCCACATTTCTTGCGCTCCAGTTCGACGCTCGACCCGGCGCCTTCGGTGCCTTCGGCGCCTCGCAGGTTCGATGATGAGGCGGAATTCCAGCGATGGGCCACGGACCCATGCCTCGGGACTTGCGTCTGGACCTGTCGAGTGAATGGCATGAGGCCAGCTACCTGCGTGAGCTTTGTAGCCAGGAGCCTTAGCTCCAAAGTTGGGGCAAGCTCCAAGCCATCTGAACACCCTAGGCGAGGACGGCGACCGCAGACGAGCTGCCCTCAAGGCGCTGCCTCCTCTTTTTTTGGGGCTGACGTGTGCTGTTTGAGAGGTGCCACCTGTCCTTGTTGCCAGCGTTCCGCTGCCGTAGCTCGCGGCAGCCTGAGCTACCTGCCCTCTTGATCATGGAAACATGAAACGACAACTACGGCTCTAGTGGGTTTCTAGTCGACCTGCAGAGGCAGCCCGCATTTTAGCTGAGACTCTCTGTGTTCCATGCGGAGCTGAGGTGAGGCACAATTGTGCCGTGCAATTTATTTGGTTTGCTTCAGGCAGCCGTGCATGTGAGTCTCACTGGGGTCTCAAAAGTGTGCGGTAGCGCTTTCAATGTGATGTTCCAATGTTCCAACGTGCATGGAAGGAAGCACCAGTTGGACGCATCGGTTGGGTGCTAGACACATGATTGTTTTTTTGGCGCAAGCTGCAACCCTTCAATGGAATCCGTTCAACGGGGCCCCTGAAACCGGCACTAGGCGGTCAGCTTGGGCTGCCTGCTTTGTATCTCCTGCGGCTTGAAAAGCCCAGCATAGCATGGCTTGTCAGGGACACTGACGCAGCAGTGGAGCTGCAACACATGTCCTAAACATAGAGGAAACGAAGAGCTTAAGAAAAAACAAACAAACAAAGAGGAGCGAACTATTTTTTAAGGGTTTTCCAGGAAGCTTCCGCCAGAAGCTTACAGATAGCTTCGCCTTCTGCCGGCATGGCGCGCTATGAGCAAAGTGACGAGCTCCATCAAAGCACTGGGGAAGAGACGATTATGGCAAGCAGCCCTCGCGATTTTGCAGGACCGGGATATGAGATTCGGTCTTATTTTCTCCGGAAGCTTGAGGTCCGTAGAGGGAACTCAGGAAGCTTCCCACAAACCAGGCAACTCATTGAGTTTTCGGATTGCCATTGCGGGTTCCTGCTTACGAAAGCTGACCATCACGGCAAGAGGTAGATATGATGCATTGTGACACGCGCATGTCAAAGGTGCATGCGCACTCGTACACGCTTGTGAAGACGTTTTGCAAATGCGCGTGTCGCAGAGCGCTTAGTGTACGATGTCGTCACAGGTGCACGTGCACCACGCGCTCAACACGAACACAGGACATGCGCACGCAGCACGCTCGCAGCACCTGAGGACCGCATAGGCGTGATGCGCAGCACATCTGCACTGCACATGTGCGCCGCACGAGAACAGCACTCGTGCAAGGACACTCTGCGCCGCACATCTGCCAAACTGCGCCGCACCACACTCTGCCCCCAAGCCCCACTACGCCGCACCGGATGGCCATGCAGTGCCAAGCACCGCCATGCAGGCGCCACGTGCCACCATAGAGTGCCACACACAGACACCCGCAACTACGAACGCCCACGTTCGCCACCTGCCCATGAGCGTGCACGCATGGTTTTTGATCACGCAAGTGTCGCTGTATTGTGTGACTTTGCTTCGAGTTTCTCGCCCTGGCTGCCACGCTGCAGGACCTTGCGGAGACAAAAACACAAACAGATCTTCGCCATGTTACGGCTGCCATGAGTGCTTGCGCAGCTTGGTCGCAGTCTCGTCAGCCATGTTGAATTCAACCTACCATTGCTGTGACTTGTGTTGCGCTTGTTTGGGGAGTTGATCTGAGGAGAAGGCATCCGAGTATCTTGGCTAGCCTTCGTCAAATTTCTTTCTGAGTTTCTGAGCACCGGCCTTGGGCTGCTTCTTCAAGGCTCTCGTGGCTGATTTTGATTTCCGGTTTCATGCGAGAATGGAATGCACCTGATTCACCAGAGATGTGGGGTCAATCACCCCAGAAAACTATGGATTGCGCTCTGCACCCCCCTCCAAAAAAAGATCCCAGAGGTCTCCTTGGCAGCTCATTTTTCCTTCTCGGTGTTCTCCGGGTTCCGCTGTCCTATCCCTTTTCGCCGCAGGTGGCGCGCCGTCCTGTCCCTCGCCGCCGAAAGCGCCGTTTGCGCGGACGCCCGGGCGACGGGCGCGGCGCTGCTGTCGCTGGCGCGGGCGGCGAGGTGGCGCCAGGCGCTGGACCTGCGACTCGGCCAGCGGAACGAAAGAGGTCTGAGGTTTGAGGTGGGTGCGGGGATGGTAGAAACTTCCAGAAAGAGGTCTGAGGAAGCCATATCTTTCCATCTCTGAGTGTGGAAACCCCATTTTGAGAGTTAAGTTCTGATCAAGGTGAGACGTAGACATCTAGTATATGAGCACGTGTTTGATGCCACTTGAGTCGGAAAAAAAAAAAAAAAACGTTGTATGTGTCAATGTCAGGCATGATCCCAGGTCTTTTGGACCTATCAAATTAGCTGCACCGCCGCTTGTAATTTGAATGGCAGGAGTGTGTTGCAGGAGCGGCCGCGCAAGTCAAACATGGGGCCGCGCAAGTGAAGCGCAAGTGAAGCGCAAGTGACGCAGTGATTCATCATCATCATCATCATCATCATCATCATCATCAGCATCATCATCATCAGCATCATCATCATCATCATCATCATCATCATCATCATCATCATCATCATCATCATCATCATCATCATCATCATCATCATCCGCATGGTCGAAAGAATCCGGAAGATTGCTAAATTTTCGCGCAAGTCGCGCGCAAGTCGCGCGCAAGTCGCGCGCAAGTCGCGCGCAAGTCGTAGATGCCTTGGATCAGGAGTGGCCCATTTCTGTAGTTTGCATTTTCTTTGTTTCTGCAGATCCCAGCAATGAGTTGCAGCAGCAGCCAGCAGCAGCAGCAGCAGCCAGCAGCAGCAGCAGCAGCAGCAGCCAGCAGCAGCAGCCGCAGCAGCAGCAGCCAGCAGCAGCCGCAGCAGCCAGCAGCAGCAGCAGCCAGCAGCAGCCAGCAGCCAGCAGCCAGCAGCAGCAGCAGCCAGCAGCAGCAGCAGCAGCAGCAGCCAGCAGCAGCAGCCGCAGCAGCAGCAGCCGCAGCAGCAGCCAGCAGCAGCAGCAGCCGCAGCAGCAGCCAGCAGCAGCAGCAGCAGCCAGCAGCAGCAGCCAGGAACAATTTGCAGCGGTGTACACACCTGAGACCTCATACACTTAAGGGGCATGTTTTTGGGGGACCTCACTCTTATGAAGACCGCCGCTTGGATTTGCAATGAAAACATCCTGGGATAAGAGTTTTAATACGGTTTCTTTTTTCCAGCTCACTTGGTTTGAAGGGGAAACCAAGATTGACATCTGACATTTCTTTTTTGTTGTTTCTTTTGGTGGGGGGGGGGTTGAGAGCCCATTTCGACCCAAACGAAACGGTGCTTCTTCAAAAACGCACCTTGGCTTTGTGCACCAACGGGCGACAATTCGTTGAAAGGTCATATTTTGAATGGCGGGGTCACCAAATAGAAGTTTTTCAGTTTGGGTTGTTGGCGGGTGGTTTTCCGTATACCAAACGGGAATTGTTTCGGTTGCGCTGTTTTGCAACACAAAGCTGCCTGTTGTAAGAGGCCGGTGGTTGCGAGAGGTTGTCACAAAGGCACTGTGATCATCCTCCCGTTTTGGCTCGGATCGAGGCTTCGGGAGAGCCCAGTGGACTTGCTTGGCTACATTGCCGCTATGAACGCCTGCACGCGGGCCAGCCGCTGGCGGTATGCCTTGGATCCCTGGCAATGGGCGACAAACGCTTCCTAGAGGTTCCCCTCAAATTTTGGTCACCTGAGAATTGTAAACGCCGCGCTGCCCTCGGCCAGGCTCAAAAAACCAGGGCCAAATGATTCCGGGGCTGAGCAGTCTAGTGACTCTAGCGTGCTGAAGCGCAAAGTGATTGCAACGCTGGAGCTAGGGACTGGGCTTAAGCTGGCCTGCGCTGAGATGGAGCTAGAGACTGTTTGGGGGCTAGGTGGGCTGGGGCTGAATGGACGGCCGTGTAAAGCAGCTGCATGAAGCTGGCTTGCTGGGTCTGGGCAAGATGCGGAAAGCGGGTCTGAGTGACAGAGTCAGCGTAGCTTACGCTGAGCTGAGCTCGGGGGGTGGGGTCAAGCCTGGGAGCTAGAGCTGGGGCTGTCTGGGGCTGAGTCAGACGGAAATTGACTGAAGCTCGTTGGGGGCTGAGTCTGGGGGCTAGGTGAAGGCCGCAGGAACTGGGGGGCTGGGCGTGTCAGGATTCGGGGGCGTCTCTGATCTGAGTGGATTTGCCATCGCTAATACAGCGGAACCCTGCGCGCGCACAGACTCATTGTGCCAGTGCAGCGTTTCCAGCCTTTTCTCAGTGCCCAGGAACTGCTGCAAGATGCGCGTTCAGCTGGCTGGTCGCCCAGATCTCTGCGCTCAGGGTGTCTCTTAAATTAGAAAACTCCACAAATGGCAACGGTTTCCTTTTGGTTTCCTTTTAACACCAACCAAAAAGGGGGATCCCCAAAAAAGAAGGCACACCCAGGTCACTCGCCGGATATCAAAACCTACACCACCGCGGCCGTGGCCGCGCGTCGTGGAACTTGGCCGCTCGCTTTCGAGGCGGGGGGGAGAGGTGGCGTGGGCTTGCTTGACGTGGGGCTCGGCGCAGGTTCTGGCAGAAGCGCTGGCCGAAGGCCGGCTTTCGGCTTGGAAGCGCCGCAAGCAGCGAGAAGTTAGACGAATAACCCTGAACATGACGAACATGATGAACATGGCCATTAGAAGGCCTTTGCGCCTTTGGGAGCCTGTGGCGGCTCTGGCCATTTTTTCAAACGGAGGCCTCCAGGTGGACACTGCCTTCTTCAATTCCCTCTTGGGCGTTTGTCTCGACGCCGAAGGCGGAGTCGGTCAAATGTGGCACGTGTAGCTTCTGGTGCTTAGAGAATGCATGGCGCAACACACATGTTGGTTGACCCGAGGGTTTGCAGGCACCCCAGGTGCCTGGGTGGCTGCCTTGCAGTTGCTCGCAGAGATGGGCAAGATGCAGTGTCCTGCTGATGCAGTGAGTTGCTCAGAGTCAGAAGTGAGGCTTGACTTGTAGGAAGCTGTGCCATTCGTGCCAATGCTGTTTCGCATTTGCCGAAGCGGTGTGATGGCTCAACCAAGGCTTTGCCACCTGTGCTCGCACCTGTGAGCGAACCCTGCAATGGGAACAGGCATTGGCTCTCTTCGAGGTGGCACGAGCTGGGCAGCTGGGCAATGATGATACGACACTGCTTGACTTGGTGTGTGCTCAATTTGCCAGCTCTCTGTAAAGATGTGTTCCTTTGTGAAGGCAGACATCAATCTCTGGGCTTCTGAATGCTGTGTCTGGCGCCAGCGGCCGTGCCGGACGATGGGAAGATGCCATGAGCTGGCTGCAGGCTTGCGCTTGTAAACTCATCGTGGGCAAACGATGTTTGGCAGGTGGCCTGCGAACAGCGTCTGGACAACGTAGTGTGCCTTGGGTGCACAGCGTGGCCGTAAAGAGCAGCGCGTTCATAAGCCCATAGGTCTTTCACCTCTGGCCCGGGTGGCCACAATTTATGGCAACATGTTTGTCACATTTGAACAACAAAACGGGGCCGGTGATGCTGGCGTGGCTCATGCTGCCGAAAATTGCGGGTCCTACGTGAGTCTCACATGAGGTTTGGTCGAAATATGCGGTCCATGGTCCATTTCGGGACATGATTCTCGGCCCGGGGGCTCACGTCATTCATGTCCAAGTTCTTGTGGAGGATACAAGGGAAACTGCCACTTAACCACCACCACCACTCCAAACCACCAATTGGGAACAACCGCCACTCACATGATATCCGAGGACCTACAACACAGCGGCCAATGCTTGCGTGAAGGCAGCGCGCTGGAGCAAGGCGCTGGACATTTTCTCACGCACTCCGGCTCCAAATGCCGTTACTTGGATTCTGGATCAGTTTTCTCATCAGGTTCTTTTTGGTTCCCTGAATGATGCTTAGAGCCACCTTAACTGGGTTCCACAAGTGGTACCATACTTTTGACGGCTGGACAGATGGATGGTGCTGGAGGTGCAAAAATGTGCCATGTCTGGGTCATGGAGCCGAGGCGAGCTTTACCACTGCGCTGCATGCGTGCGAGGATCACTGGGAAGACGCCTTGGGTCTACTTGCAGACATGACGGCACCTTTGCTGATATGGGCATCCCCTGTGCTTTCCTCTAGTCATCCGGTGCTTTGTGGTGACAGATTTGTGCGTGTGCATCCTTTTTGAAGGTACCCTCCTTTTTTCAGGTGCTTTTCAAGAGAAACCAACAAAACAGGACTCATTTTCGGGATTCCCTTTGGAGACTAAATCCATCAAAGGGTCCTTTGCAATCCAAGGCGGCTGCGCTTCAACCGGAGCTCGCTGACTTTCGGACGTATGCAAGGACGCCTTGCCTGTGCAAAGACTGTACACAAGCCAAATAAATCCCACATGAGTATGGGTCAAAATTTGAGCGTTTTAGTCCTTGTTTCTTGTTACCAGGGTTCCGTTTCGGGGCAACCCTCTGCTTGACCCACAGCCACAGGGACAGGTCAAGCCAAAAAGGGCAGAGAGCGGCGGATTTCTTTCCACAAATGCTGCAGGGCCTTGGGCCGTGCGCGGCACTGGCAGCAGGCCGTGCAGCTGCAACAGATTGTGAGAGGCCACTCTGCATTTTCGGATATCCATGGAAGATTCGGTGGATGGACAAACTCCTGGAAAATTTGTGAGCACAGGGCTTAGCAGCTGCCTGAGCATGTAGGTGAGAAGCTCTCAGATCGACGAGGATCCCTTTGGAGTGTGGTGGCATGGGCCTGCCAGGCACATGGGGCTTGATCAATATTCCCTTCGGCCCCCAGTTTTGACCATGAGTAACTTCTCCCATGTGGGATATATATCATATCAGATCTTTTCAGCTGTTTTCCCCAATGGTCATCCCATTCGATCACCCCTCACATGGGATTCGGCGAAACTCCAGTTTTTTTCTGTCTTTTTTTTCTTCTTATTTTCTTTCCACCTTTTTTCTTCTTTTTTTTTCGGAGTCATGTCACTCGCCTCACGAGGCGTCGGGAGTCGGTCGCCCTTTGGTTCCACGTTGGATGCACCTGGGCGCCTGGAAAGAGCTGGAGTTGCTGGCGAGACTCGGTTGCAGACTTTGCAAAAATTGGCAGGGAACTTGGCGCTGGAGCACTGATATTGGGCGTGTCTTTTTTGGGGTACTTTTGGGGTTGTGTAATTAAACAGGAACCAAAAGGAAGCCACCCATTTGTTTAGGTCCACCATTTTGAGACAGCGGAGGCCCATACCTGGTACCTGCACAATATCAGTTCAAGGAGTCCTCCAAATTTCGATGAATTACCCACACCAAGACGACACCCGTTTTAAAGAGACATTGAACTGCATGCTACCACAATCTTACAGCTTGATCTGAGCTGAGCGATCCTAGGCACGTCCAGCACGTGGCGCCCAGAGGGAGCATCGACGCAGCGCTAGACGCCGTGGAGGATTTTGCACAGAAAGTTCAGTGGCTGAAGGCGCGGAGGCTGTGATCATGACTCAGATATGCCTCATGGGTGTGGGTCAAAAAAAACCAAAATGGCACCTTGGTAAAGGGAAACATGGACTAAAACCTGCGGTCTCCTGGTGGTTTAATTTTGACCCATACCCATATGTCTCATGGGTGAGTCCTCTTTTTCCGGACGCCCCAAAATGGTGCTTTTCCTTTTGGTTTCCCTTGAAAACCAACCCAAAACAGGGGGTACCCTTCAAAAATGACACACCCCTGATGGTCCTGGAGGTCCTTGGCGGCGCCAAAGCACGGCTGTTGCAGAGCAGCTTGCGCCCGGGGGACAATGTGGTGGAGTTGCTTGGCTGAGCTGATCCACAAGCCGACATGGCCGCACATCCAGCGTGGGTCTAGTGGGAAGGACAGGACCTGCTCACTCTCCCACACACCCAACGCTGCACTCGCTAAATATTTACACGCTGACGCGACACAGCCGGCCACCGGGCACCTTGCCCTGCCCGTTCTGTCACTTCCCTTTCCTGTAAGTCCGATGAGTAGATGTTAAGATCCTAAAATTCTAAAAACTTTGAGATTCTAAGGGTCTCAGATTTGAAGACTTTCGGAATTTAAGGTTTCAATGGTTGAAGAATTAAGGTTTTAAGATTCAAAGATTTAAGGTTTTTGAAGGTTATAACAGCCAGGCCACTGCCCAGCCATTTTCCATCCAAGGCTTTAAGATTTTTTTTTTTTTGAGATTTTCAGATTTGGCGACTTTCGGAATTTAAGATTTTAAGATCTTAAGATGTCAAGACTTCAAAAGTTGAAGATGAAGAGTTTAAGGAATTTAGAAGAAGCCCGATTGATTTTATTATATTTTACTTGTTTATGAATTTAAGATTTTCAGGCTGCAATAGTTCGAGATTTAAAGAATTTAAGTTTTTGAAGCTTTTAAGATTCTGAGATTTTCAGATTTTGAGAATTTAGGAGTTTCATATTTTAAGATTTTAACATCTGAAGATTCAAAGACATGAGGGTTTCTGTCACTTCCCTTTCCTGTAAGTCCGATGAGTAGATGTTAAGATTTTAAAATTCTAAAAACTTTGAGATTCTAAGGGTCTCAGATTTGAAGACTTTCGGAATTTAAGGTTTCAATGGTTGAAGAATTAAGGTTTTAAGATTCGAAGATTTAAGGCTTTTGAAGGTTATAACAGCCAGGCCATTGCCCAGCCATTTACCATCCATTATCAGATTTCGAAGGCTTTAAGATTCTATTTTTGTGAGATTTTCAGATTTGGCGACTTTCGGAATTTAAGATTTTAAGATCTTAAGATGTCAAGACTTCAAAAGTTGAAGATTAAGAGTTTAAGGAATTTAGAAGAAAATAGCCCGTATTGAAGGAATTTTATTATATTTTACTTGTTTATGAATTTAAGATTTTCAGACTGCAATAGTTCGAGATTTAAAGAATTTAAGTTTTTGAAGCTTTTAAGATTCTGAGATTTTCAGACTTTGAGAATTTAGGAATTTCATATTTTAAGATTTTAACATCTGAAGATTCAAAGACATGAGGGTTTCTGTCACTTCCCTTTCCTGTAAGTCCGATGAGTAGATGTTAAGATTTTGAAATTCTAAAAACTTTGAGATTCTAAGGGTCTCAGATTTGAAGACTTTCGGAATTTAAGGTTTCAATGGTTTAAGAATTAAGGTTCTAAGATTTCATATTTTAAGAGTTTAAGATCTCAAGATTCTAAGACATAAGGTTTTTAAGATTTCAAGATTCGAAGACTTTAGGAAGTTTTTTATATTTTTAGATTTTAACATTCTAAGTTCTAAGATTTTAAGATCTTGAGATTCTAAGATTGATTGTTAGATATTTATTTAAGATTTTAAGAATCTAAGACTTTAGGATTTTGAGATTTCAATCCAGGCCATTTTCCATCCATTTCCATCCACTTTAGATTTTAAGATTTTCAGGTTGCACGTTTTCGGCAAAATTGGCCCGACTTAGGGGACAACATCCCCAGCATCCCCCGCATCGCCAGCATGCATAGCATCATCCGCATCATCCGGGATGATGCTGGCAATGCTGGGGGTGTTGTCCAGTATTAGGCACCCCCTAAAAATGTTCGTTTTTGGGCGCTGCGGGGAGATGCTACAAAAATCGCTTAAACCAATCCGCGAATCCTTCGCCCCTTAAAAGGGTGGGCCCAGTACAAAACGTATGCGCATGGTCGGAGCATGGTCGGCGGCATGGGGCGCGCGGCCTTATACCTGAAGGTAAGCCCTAACGGGCTTTGGCCTGCGGTCCGATCACGTCCGGTGGCCGGATTTACACGCTGACGCGACACAGCCGGCCACCGGGCACCTTGCCCTGCCCGTTCTGTCACTTCCCTTTCCTGTAAGTCCGACGAGTAGATGTTAAGATCTTAAAATTCTAAAAACTTTGAGATTCTAAGGGTCAGATTTGAAGATTTTCGGAATTTAAGGTTTCAATGGTTGAAGAATTAAGGTTTTAAGATTCAAAGATTTAAGGTTTTTGAAGGTTATAACAGCCAGGCCATTGCCCAGCCATTTTCCATCTAAGGCTTTAAGATTGATTTTTTTTGAGATTTTCAGATTTGGCGACTTTCGGAATTTAAGATGTTAAGATCTTAAGATGTCAAGACTTCAAAATTTGAAGATTAAGAGGTTAAGGAATTTAGAATATTGCCCGGATTGAAGGAATTTTATTATATCTTACTTGTTTTTGAATTTAAGATTTTCAGATTGCAATAGTTCGGGATTTAAAGAATTTAAGTTTTTGAAGCTTTTAAGATTCTGAGATTTTCAGATTTTGAGAATTTAGGAGTTTCATATTTTAAGATTTTAACATCTGAAGATTCAAAGACATGAGGGTTTCTGTCACTTCCCTTTCCTGTAAGTCCGATGAGTAGATGTTAAGATTTTAAAATTCTAAAAACTTTGAGATTCTAAGGGTCTCAGATTTGAAGACTTTCGGAATTTAAGGTTTCAATGGTTGAAGAATTAAGGTTTTAAGATTCGAAGATTTAAGGCTTTTGAAGGTGATAACAGCCAGGCCATTGCCCAGCCATTTACCATCCATTATCAGATTTCGAAGGCTTTAAGATTCTTTTTTTTGTGAGATTTTCAGATTTGGCGACTTTCGGAATTTAAGATTTTAAGATCTTAAGATGTCAAGACTTCAAAAGTTGAAGATTAAGAGTTTAAGGAATTTAGAATAATATAGCCCGTATTGAAGGAATTTTATTTATTTTACTTGTTTATGAATTCAAGATTTTCAGACTGCAATAGTTCGAGATTTAAAGAATTTAAGTTTTTGAAGCTTTTAAGATTCTGAGATTTTCAGACTTTGAGAATTTAGGAATTTCATATTTTAAGATTTTAACATCTGAAGATTCAAAGACATGAGGGTTTCTGTCACTTCCCTTTCCTGTAAGTCCGATGAGTAGATGTTAAGGTTTTAAAATTCTAAAAACTTTGAGGTTCTAAGGGTCTCAGATTTGAAGACTTTCGGAATTTAAGGTTTCAATGGTGTAAGAATTAAGGTTCTAAGATTTCATATTTTAAGAGTTTAAGATCTCAAGATTCTAAGACATAAGGTTTTTAAGATTTCAAGATTCGAAGACTTTAGGAAGTTTCTATATTTTTAGATTTTAACATTCTAAGTTCTAAGATTTTAAGATTTTGAGATTCTAAGATTGATTGTTAGATATTAATTTAAGATTTTTTTCAATCCAGGCCATTTTCCATCCATTTCCACCCACTTTAGATTTTAAGATTTTCAGGCTGCACGTTTTCGGCAAAATTGGCCCGACTCAGGGGACAACATCCCCAGCATCCCCCGCATCGCCAGCATGCATAGCATCATCCGCATCATCCGGGATGATGCTGGCAATGCTGGGGGTGTTGTCCAGTATTAGGCACCCCCTAAAAATGTTCGTTTTTGGGCGCTGCGGGGAGATGCTACAAAAATCGCCTAAACCAATCCGCGAATCCTTCGCCCCTTATAAGGGAGGGCCCAGCACAAAACGTACCCGCATGGTCGGAGCATGGTCGGCGGCATGGGGCGCGCGGCCTTATACCTGAAGGTAAGCCCCAACGGGCTTTGGCCTGCGGCCCGATCACGTCCGGTGGCCGGATTTACACGCTGACGCGACACAGCCGGCCACCGGGCACCCCTCCCGTTCTTTCATCTCCTTTCCCTCTCTGTTTCCTGGCATGTCCCTTCACTTCCTTCCACTTCACTGCCGCTTCAGCTCCCTTCATTTCCTTGAAGACTCCTTCATTCGCATTCCTTTCCCTTTTCGATCTTTCATTTTCCTGCAGCTTGGTTTCTCTCCAGCGCCCTCTTCATTTTCGTGCAATGCCTTTGACTTGCATTTCGTTCACTTTCCAGTCACTCCTGTTTCCTTTCAGCCCCTTGTTTCGCATCGCCAGCATGCATAGCATCATCCGCATCATCCGGGATGATGCTGGCAATGCTGGGGGTGTTGTCCAGTATTAGGCACCCCCCAAAAATACTCGTTTTTGGACTCGTTTTTGGATGCTGCGGGGAGATGCTACAAAAACGCCTAAACCAATCCGCAAATCCTTCGCCCCTTATAAGGGAGGGCCCAGCATAAAACGTATGCGCATGTTCTGGTCATGGTCCGCGCATGGTCGGCGGCATGGGGCGCGCGGCCTTATACCTGAAGGTAAGCCCTAACGGGCTTTGGCCTGCGGCCCGATCACGTCCGGTGGCCGGATTTAAGGGCTGCCGCCCAGTGCCGCCGACCCCAAACCAGTTTGGGAATGGCTGAAATGAACGGGGCCGTTTCAAAATTAACGATACTCCGAAACCTGGGAACAAAACATGAAAAAACGCTACGGGACGTCCTAATGTCGGACACCCCAAAGAAGGATTTTTGACGCTGGTTCATGTAGCCAGGGTGCGGTGCATTTTTGCTTTGCTTTCGCGTGAAAATGCACCGCTTTTATGCTGATGATGATGCTGATGATGCTGAACTGACATGATAATCATCATGACGCATCCTCAGCATCACCAGCAGGCATCATGATAATCATGTCCACGCATCTTCTGCATCTCAAATCGGCTCTAACGGGACTGATGATGATGATCATGATGAGCACCGTGATGATGAGGATGATGATGATGATGATGATGATGATGATGATGACATGATAATCATCATGACGCATCCTCAGCATCAAAAGCAGTCATCGTGATAACGCGCTTTGATTGGCACGCTTCCACAGAAAGTGCGCCCATTCTGGAGCGATCTTTTTCTTTCCTTGGCTTGGTGCATTTTTGCAACAATCTGGTAAGAAAATGCGCCGCTGTAAGTGCCTACAATTCTGCTGCTGCTTGGAGCATGTGCGGTGCAGTAGTGGCTCATCGCCGGTCACCCCGCAAGCCAGCCAGTTTTCTGGCCGCAAGTCGGGGCCGCGATGGGTCTGAACTGACATGATAATCATCATGACGCATCCTCAGCATCACCAGCAGGCATCATGATAATCATGTCCGTCTCAAATCGGCTCTAACGGGACTGATGATGCTGATCATGATTATGATCCCTCTGCATCTCCAATCATGTCACAACGATGATGATGTGATGATGATGAACATGTCATCATCACCATGATGGTAATCATCATCACTGCGAATGCAAGTCCCTCCTCGCGGGCAGAATGTCTGGCTCTAACGCAACACTTGAAACACAAACGAAAAAGACACGGATGACGACAATAATGATCATGATGACGAAAAAGACACGTCTTTGAGGTGCAAAGGATGCTACGATGACGCTGATAATGTTGACTCTTCGGCTATGCTCATTTACCAACTAACCTTGGACTTGTGCTGTAACCACCCTTCCCGTGCGCCTCCCCCTTTGAGGAGAAGGGGTCGGCGGATTATAATATTATCCATGTCTTTTAGTGGAGCATCGTATGTCGACGACTATCGGGTTGCCAGGCTTGGTAGCTACGTGGGGTACTCTGCCTTACTGCTCCTTCAGCAGCTGCGGAAACTGGGAGGGGGAGGAACTGTGCGCCTTGGCATGTTTGGCTTCTTTTTTTTAAAACAGCCATGGCATTGGCAGCTCCAAGGACCACGTGCGATCAAGACGCTGCTGTGGGGCTGATAGCAGAAAGGCTGCTGCAGTGGGTGGATCCAACACAATGCGAGGCGCGACTCCCCGGGCACAACTCCATCGCAGACTCACTCGCGAAATCAGTCATATCCTCGAGCGAGGTGATGCTGCTGATTGGTCGTATTCAAGACTTGCAGCTCGTCAGCACATTCCTTTGGCAAAATCAGTTGGCAAGGAGAAAGGCAAGTGAGCCACAATCAAAATCCGGTAGATGAAGGTTAGTAAGGGAGAATCCCAGCCTCAAAATAGTTTCGGCCGCCTTTGTATTTCCTTACGTGGTTCTGGGTCAACGAGCCGAGGTCAGCATGCCCGCGCTTCAGAAGCGCAGACTTGGTGGCCAGAGGCTCAGAACAGCTCGCGGGCTGGCCAGCTGCTTGAATGCGGATCTGGCATTGCCACCTTTCAAAGGTCCAAAAGGTGCCTTTAGTGCGGGGGATGGGAAGAGCTTCCCTTGGCGGGATGCGTGCTCTATAACATCAGCACTGAAACACAGGGTGGCATTTCGCTTTTGCACGCGACAAGAAACAGTATTAGAGCCTTGTCGCATGGTACTTCTGCGAGCCCTTGAATGGCATGCTCTCAAACCAACCTGATTCTCGGCTGCTCAGCTCGGTTTGGAGGTTTCTGCACGATCTGTCAGGTGCTGGACCATCAAGCTGCCCGATATGGGCCGGACCTTGCCATGATGCTTCGGCTTCGGCAAGGGGCGCTTCGCTTTTTCGCAGACAACGCGCCGTGCTTACCGAAGCGGAACTAAGCTTGGAATCGGGGGCTCAAGAGAGAGTGTAGCAGGTCTTGCACCCTGGTGCGCCAGCGTTTCTCCACTTTCTGCACGAAACCGACAGCGATGTTCCTTGGAATCATGCAAAGCACGGGGAGATGGAGAGAGAGAGAGAGAGAGAGAGAGAGACAGAGAGAGAGAGAGAGAGGGAGAGAGAGAGAGGGAGACACAGAGAGAGAAAAAGAGAGACTTGTATTCTGATTGCTTGAGGTCGCCCTGCATGAAGTGCTCCGCTCTCAGCACTTTCCACGTGATGCTCGGGTTTGTGATGCCATGCTCGGGGATCGGCATTTGCAGGCTGGAGTTTGCTCACTCACCTGCAGTAGCAGACTGGATTGTTCTTGGCCAAGTGCGAAGGCCCGGAAAGCGTGCATTTGGATAAGGCGCGGCTGCCCTTGTGAGGTGTGGAGACATCCTTCCAGCGTGCCTTGACAGAGATGGCCGAAACCTTTTTTGCGCTTGCATGCAAGCCATTCAAGAGACTTCTCGCATTGTCCGCCGTTGCGAGAGGTTCGAATCTCCGCCGGAGATTCGCTGGTGGTCCGCGGAGGTGGAGAGTATTTGCCGCTTCAGCCGGCGACGAGGGGCAGATCCAGATTGGCTCAGCTTCCAGGCGCAGATTGGTTCTGATCATTTGGTCTTGGCGAGTGGTCAGGAAGAGCTGCGCAAAGTTTTGCGGCCATGGGCGCCCCGTCCGAGATTGAAGGGTTGCCAAAGCAGAGAGAGCGAGTCAAGGACTGAAAAGCTGCGCTTTGGAAATGAAACTCCAGGCCGAGCATTTGAAGCGCTAAACCGCGAGCGTCGCAAAATGTGAGCTCAACATGTGCCGAAAGACTCACTCAAACACACACACACACACACACACACAGCATGCTCGTGTGAGGCACGTCTTTTCACTGCCATGTTTCGCCGAAACTGCCTCAAGCACTGTCGGGGGAGGGGGGCTTTGTCGCTCCACCCATGCGGCCTCAAGCCTTGGCCTCAGCTTTAGCAGAGGGATGGTGTCAAAATTTTCGGGGGCGCCCACATCGCCACCATTGCGCGTCTGCGAGTCACGTTTTGTTTGAGGACATGCCGATTTGTAGTTTCGGAGATTCTCGTTGCCTGGCTGCCGTGCAAGGTATATCAGTGTGTCCAGGCCACTCCTTCGACTGCTTGACATAGACGAGTACGCTTTCATGTATGCACGTAGCGAATGCCGATGAGGATCCTAGGCTTTTGTATGCGCACGCTGGTTGAACAACGCAGCACCTTCTGCAGAGATATGTGCAGGTGACAAAGCCGCTGCCCGTGCAGCAGAAGGTGCAGAGTTTCCTTGCTTTGGTCCATGTCGGAGTTCACATGCCCTGAATGGGCGTATGCCAGGATGTTCATCTGCGGGAACGAGGCGTTCGGATCATGCAGGAGCCGGAGGCTGGGGAACAGGAGCCGAGGCTCGCCGGCAGCAAGTTGGTGCGGGCAGGTGATAGAAACTTGCGCCGATCGCTGCTACAGTCCGACAGATGACCTTGACGACGATCTTAGCTTCCATCACGTGCCTAAGAAGCAGTGTTTCGGGGCATGGCAAGTTGCAGTGTCCCACTTTGGTGCTATCAGAAACCTTGCAAAGCAATCATCGCGGCGCTGCAGGGGGCGGTGACCGATCCTGCAGAGCCTGTGGCACTAAGCTGCTTGACTCTAAGATTCGCTTTTCAAGTAAATTGGATTGCAACTGTGTCATCATTGCAATTGCGCGCTATTGACAGTGTTTGAGCATAATTCTCGATGCTGACTGCAGCTTTGTGAGCCTGTGTTGCAAATAATTCAATTGGGAAAAAGGCCTTCATAGTGTACATGTACTTGGGTATCGCATTGCCCGCTATATCATTTGCGTGCAGCGATTGTAGCTGTGCTTGTGGCCGCATCAGCAGCTGTGGTGATCGAAGTTCAGTGGTTGGACTCCTGTCGAGATTTCTAACGGCTTGCAGGAACGCAGAACAGTGAATGCGTGGCTGTGGGGCTTTGTAATAGGAGGTGTGCATGATCCATCAGCAGGCCATCATACACAAATATAATAATATGATGTGTTTCGGCTTTGCACATGTCAGCACTGTTCTGTGTCATGACTTCTGCGGGAATAGTTGCTTCTGAGTGTCATGGCACGCAGCGCAACGCAGGAAATTCAAATGTCGTGCGTGGAGGGGCTGATGTCCGACGTTCTAGCTTTTATGTACCACCACGTGTTGCTTGCTCTTGAGCGTTTGCTTGACTGGAGACGTGCTTGACATACTATCGTGAATGGTCTATTCTTGCTGCTTGGGTAGTTTTCAATCGAGCTACTGGCCTTGGGCTAGGCACTCTACTTCATTTCACTGGATGTGTAAATGGGGTCCTTTTTCCACAGTTTATCAGCCAGCTGCTTGACATCTTTTGTTTGACGGCTCAGTCGCCGCCGTGCTTTGACTAAAAAGCTTGGCTGCTCAGTGTCAATCTTTCTTAGTGGGTGCTTGTGAACTGACAAGCTTTTAGATCTGGTTGCGTGATAGGGAAGGGCTGACATTGGCTGAAACAATGAGTCAGCACATTCGATTTCAGTGTGCCCTTGTGATTGTCTGAATGCAGTCGGACTTCCAATCAACGATCGGCGACTTATTTGTCCCGATCAACTCATAGCTACAACGGCATCAGCACTAGGCGTATCGAGTTGCCACCAACGATCCAAGGCCCCGACCCTGCCTTGGAACAAGTTCAAGGACAGCAAATACAGGGAACTCGGCATGTTTGGCCTGACCAAATTGGCCAAGGGCCTCTCTGGTTCCTGCGCAGGAGTGCGCAAGATAATTCCTTCGTCGCAGTCGGCGGCTGCCACTCTTCTGCGGCGAAAGTCGCTCCTGAAAAAACAGGCTGGGGGCCGCCCGACCTGTGTCTAGAGACTTGAGACGTCTTTCTCACCGACCTTTGCTCGGGCTGTTTAACAGGGTGCCCTACGTATGGTGGACGGACGAAATCCATTTCGCACCACCTGAGAACCCGCTAGTTGCTGATGATGCTCTTGTAAATACCAAGAAACGTTATGGTCTCTTAGGTGGTGCGAAATGATTTTCGCAACCATCCACAGTGGGTTCGCCCGTGGCGACAGGATCAGATGATGGTGGCATCTTCGCCTTTGCTGCGGCCTCCGCGCCTGCCTGTGTCGCGGAATAGCTCCGCCCCTTGGCCGATTTGGATCAGGTCTCCTTGAAACCAGGCCTAGTGCAGGTTTGTTGGGGTCAAATCTTAATTTCTGTAGTTTTCCTGGTTTCCATGGTTTGGTCAACAAATAGAGTAGTCTGGTGTCATTTTGGGAGGGGCAAGGGGGCCACTCGCAAAAGACAATCCGAACAATTCACTATGCGCACACGGAGCGCTGAGCATTGAGTCCAGCCGCCGCAGGTGGAGTCGAGCTCCAACGTGTCCAACGTCTCAGCGGTTTCCGGTGACAGCCGGACGAAAGGCAGCCCAAGATCGCCAGGCGCAGGTCTTAGATTCGGACATTTTTGTGGACGTCCTCTTGCCTTGCCCATTCGGGTTTGTGCCTCATTTATATGAGGGAACCCCCCTTTTCTTAGGGTGTCCTTTGGCAACCCCCAAAAAGGGTACCTTCACAAACAGACGGAGTTTCCTCCTGAGGCTGTGCCGTTTTGCTTAGTGATCTGAATTACTCACCAAGAGTCACGCTCAGGGGCCTGCTACACGTCGCACAGCGGCGCTGCACCTAGCGACTGTGCAGCTGTGCAGGCATGAGGCCACCGCAGATATGCGCAACTGACAAAAGTAGGGGGTGCTCCAAATTTTGAGAAGACATGGGGTGCTCCAAATTCCCCACACGAGCCAAGAGGCACAGCGTGAAAGTTTAGAGGCACATCACAGAGGTTAAGGAAATCAGACTGTGCTTGAGGTACAGATGAGGAGCGGTCTCCATGTCCAAGTGTCTCCAACATGAGCAATGGCAGCGTTGACACAAAGCCTCGTGGAAAACTTACAATGGAGCCCTGTAGAAGGCTTGTGAAAGCAGTTGCTTAGGGCGCAAGTGGCCTAGGTGGTCTTCTGTCTGAAGATGAAGACGATATTCCTCGCGCATATGGCACCACAGAGCGCACCTTTCGAGCATTCTGTGGATGCAAGCCAGGCCGGTTGCTCACATCGGATTTACTGCCACACTCACAGAACCGCGGTTGTCTCCAGGAATGGACGGGAAAACGTTTGCCAAGCTATGCAAGGACCGGGTTGAGTTGTTGAACACCAGGAAAGCGCGTGATACGAAACACCACCTGTAGGACAGCAATCTGGTGGACAAGAGTTTGACGAAGACGGACGTTGACATCATTTTTGCCAAAGTTGTTCAGCCCCTTGGCTGGGGCATCCACTGAGAGCATCATATTGCTAATGTGGGGCACAACTGAGTCAAAGAGAGAGAGAGAGAGAGAGAGAGAGACGCACACGCATTGCTGTCGCTGGCCCAGGAAGGGACATCGTCGAATGTATTTGGAGCAGTTTGACTCAGCTTTGGAGCTTATTGCGGACAAAAGGGGCATGAAGTTGGAGGACGTTTGGTCGCACGTGAGGCGGGAGACCAAGACTCAATGATGTTTCTAAAGGCAATGTGCGATGTCAGCAGCCTGGCTTCCGGCGGCAGGTCCTGTGGTGGCCCCGTGCTGAACAGTACTAAAGCAGATGCAGTCCGCTTCTACGATGACAAGAGCACTTACACGGGTACACATGCACAAGGAGGGCCTGATCCTGGCCGCAAAGGAAGAGGTACCCTGTGCCGCCCCCAGCTGACATGCTGCAGGCCTTGTGCGCGGCTTGGTGCGTAGGAATACTGTGATTTCATGCCAAGGACCGCCTGGTCATCAGATTTGCGCGATGAGGTTCCCTGTACTCCGCGGGATGATCCGGAAACACCAGCTGCGGCGACAGCCACTTCTCTATATATTCCCTTCGAGGAAAAAGAAAAGGAAAGGCAGCGTGCATCAGTGCGCACTGGAAGCTTAAGTGAGAAGAAGATTGCCCAGCAGCTTCGTGGAAAGGATGGAACCGTGGAGGCCGTGAGTTGTTGGCATTGGCTTTGATCGTCACTATGCCGGGGCATTGTTAGAATTCTTTACTTCTCAAGATGTGAGCATCATGTTTGCTTATGTTGGTGGTGTAGTTGGGAGTAGCAATAGCATGTGAGCTCAGAGAGCAATAGGTCCGAAGCAGAGTCCCTTTCCTGCACGCAATGAGGATTTGTGGTCAACCCGATGTTACACTCCCGAGAGTGGAACCCCAGAGTTGAGCCCCAGAGCAAGAGCTCAGCTGCGAGGACACGTTCAAAGCTTACAGCGGGAACAAGCCGGACCTGGATGGAAAGACTTTCGTGAAGCTGTGCAAGGATTGCGAAATCATCGACGACATCTTCACGCCCATCGACGCAGATCTGGTGTTCGCGAAGGTCGTTTCAAGAGGTCATCGGCGAATCACGCTGCAGCAGTTCCACAACGCGCTAAGAATGATTGCAGAAAGGAAGGGCGACTCAGAAGAGGACATATGTCGCCTCGTTGCGGAATCCGAAGGTGTGCTGCATGCAGGGACTACAGCTGAATATGTGCGGTTCTTCGATGATAAAAGCACATACACTGGAACCCATGTATATGGAGGCGGGGTCAAGCGTGCTCGTTCGACTTGTGGAAGTAGTTGACAAAAAGGCAATTTGGAGACGCGAAATGAGACCAAGCAAATAAGGAAAGCACACTTTGAAATAGACAACTTTTTTAAACAGATTGCCAGCGATGCTCGGTGCAAACACGAAGATGACAGCGTGCTGATCCCATCCACAGTCAGGCCAATGAAGGGCCTTCTGCGAACCACAGGCACACAGACCCCACCCGCCCGCCTGCAAGCAGGGCACGCGTGTCGCACGTCCACGCACAGGCACGAGAACGCGCACCCACTTGCACCCGCACACGCACATGCGCGGGCACACAGGCACACGACGCAAACGCACACGCGCACAGACACAGATACAGACACAGACACAGACGCAGACACAGACAGAGAGACGCGGACAGAGAGACAGAGATAGACAGAGACAGACAGAGACAGACAGAGACAGACAGAGACAGACAGAGACAGACAGAGACAGACAGACAGAGAGAGAGAGAGAGGGAGACAGAGAGATAGAGAGACACAGAGAGACACAGAGAGACACAGAGAGACACAGAGAGACACAGAGAGACACAGAGAGACACAGAGAGACACAGAGAGACACAGAGAGACACAGAGAGACACAGAGAGACACAGAGAGACACAGAGAGACACAGAGAGACACAGAGAGACACAGAGAGACACAGAGAGACACAGAGAGACACAGAGAGACACAGAGAGACACAGAGAGACACAGAGACAGAGAGAGACAGAGACACAAAGAGAGACAGAGAGAGACAGAGCGAGAGATTCAGAGAGAGAGAGAGAAAGATAGAGATAGACAGACAGACAGAGACAGACAGACAGAGACAGACAGAGACAGACAGAGACAGACAGACAGAGGCAGACAGACAGACAGACAGAGACAGACAGACAGACCGAGACAGATAGAGATAGAGAAACAGAAGCACAGCGACAGCGACACAGAGACAGAGACAGACAGACAGAGACAGACAGACAGAGAGGCAGAGAGCGAGAGAGAGAGAGAGAGAGTGAGAGAGACATACAGAGACATCGAGACTGAAGGCAGCCACGAGGTTTTCTTGTGGCTCAATTGAACCATTGTGGGAGCCATACGGTTCACAGAGGCAGCTTGCTTGTATCGTCAGACTCGTGGGAGGTCCAGACAGCAGTGCCCAGAGCAGCCATGATCAGCTGTGGAGCTCGATGTTGCGACCTTACGAGGATCTCCCAGCCACTTGGCTTTGCATGTGGCTCTGAAATTCGATAGGAAGCCCCCCTTAAAGATGGTTGGTCAGACTTATCCATGTAACTTATGCACTTGTCAAACTTGTCCATGGATTTGGATAGAAGACATCATGGGCCCTAAGGAGATGGTCGTGACAAAGATACAAGAGGCCAGTCCTACAGGACAGCTGAATTGGCAGGCTGCATGCGCATCCGTTGCAGAGAGACTCGTCGACAGGAGCAACCGGGCGAGCTGCCAAGGAGCGAGCCGTTCAGCCGAAGGCCTGCAATGCGACAGGGTTACTCTAGGCGTTGCTGAAAATCAGGGACCCATCCAGGTAGGCGGTTTCCTTTTGGTTTGCCTTTAAACCCATGCCCAGGTAGGCGGTTTTCCTTTTGGGTTCCCTTTCAACCCATCCCCAGGTAGGTGGTTTCCCTTTGGTTTCCCGCGTTGCGTTGCGCGTGAGTTTTTAATGCGCACGTTTCCAGGCCAAGCCACGGGCTCGCTTGGCAATCACTGCGAAGGGCAAGCCTCCCCAGGGTGACAGGGATGATTTCACCATGGTCTTCACAGACGTGCAAGGCGCAACTTTGGGCGTTGGGTGCAACTCGGATTCGGCCCGGTCAAAAAAATGGTCAAAAAAATGGGTGTGTCTTTTTTTGGGGTACCCCCTTTTGATTGTAGAGGGAAGCCACGAAAGGAAGCCACCCTCTTTGGGGGTCCCCCAATTATTGAGCCAACCCCAAACGGTGCCTTGTTGCCTCCAACTGCGAGGCTCTACGTCTCTTTGGGAGTCGAATCCTCGGGCCATGGAAATGGCGCTGCGGCTGCACGATGCGACGATCCGGCAAGTTCTCGCGAAGCACAGTGGGTATGAGGCCAGCCGCGTCAGTTCCGAGTTCGTAGAACATGGTGATCTTGAATATGTGTTTGTGTCTGTCTGTGTGTGTTTTTGATGCTGCCCATTCTCGTTGGCTTCTTCTTAAAGGGACACCGAAGGGAAAACCGCTGTCCAAATTTTTGTGACCAGCCAGCTGCGGCGAGTTGCCAGTTTCGCAGGTCACCACGGAGGGTGATGCCTTTCAGATCGCGTTCCATGATACTTGCGATGCCGTGGCCTTCTGCCTTGACACACAGGCGGGTGTCTTTCAAACTTAGACCTCCGAAATGAATTCGGTGTTCCAACCGGGAAAGTTGCTGGTTTTCCTTTGGTTTGCCTTGAAGCCCCCATTAAAAGGGGCACACTCAAAAACCAGACAGAGGCGATGCAACATGTTTCAGAGACGCTGGGATTGGTTCTCGAGTCCCTTTTTTAGGCAGAGCTGCTGCGTTGCGACTGGCCTGCGCCCACACTGGGACATACCGATGCTGCGGCCGGGGGGGGGGGGTTTGGGGGGATTTGGGTGTTGGCTTGGGCTTTGGCTGGGGAGCAATATTTCAGTGTTGACCAATAATCGATGGATCAGATGCAGTAGATTTGAGAGTTCAGATGCCTTCAAAGTGTTTCTTGCCAAGCAGTGATAGTTTGTTGTCGTGAAACAAGGCTATCTCGTGGAACGGTCAAAGCGGAATTGACTAAAACGCATCAATCAATCTAAGAGTAGGCAGCCTGCAAAGCATGAGTGCGCATTGTAGACCCTCATGTTCATCACTGCTCCTTGATCCCTTCCAAGCATTTGTATTGGTGTTTTAGTTTCTTGTTGACATTGTGAAATAGAAACCTTGCCAACATTCATTCTTGGTAGTGTCTGTTTTGAGGGTACCCCTTTTTCGTGGTTTTAAAGTTGCACCAAAAGCATTCATTTTTTGCCATGCATTTGGCAACCTTGTCAAAAGTGGTTGGACATGAATCCCCGCCTAAATTTGATGTCCCCTATTGAATTTCATACCAATTTGAGTCACAATAAAAACTTCGGTAATTGGAGGTAGGGACAATCCTATCCAATGGGTGGGATATCCGCCTTTTCAATTCTGTACATGGTGGGAGACCATTTTTTGTTTACCGAGTTTGGATTGGGGCTGTGGGAAACGACCACTTCTGTGATACAACAGAAAGGGCCAAAGACGAACCCCCCATAGGAAGGGGGAGGGTCTCTTGTATCACAAAGGGGGACCAAACCCCTTGATCCCACAACCTTGACTTTGTTGCATTTTGCTTGGATGTTAGGACTTTCACTTTTTGCCAACGCATGGGTCTTCCATTAAACCACTAAAGGTTAAACTTTTAGCAGAGCAGATTTCGCAACCAAGTTGAGTACCTGCGAATTGGTCGCATCGACTGCGACTCTCGCCAGGCCAGCAGCGACGGCGCCTGGCGGGGCCTGCGCGTGCGGATGGGTTTGCATTCCGGGCGGCCGGCCTACGTCACCAAGCACGAGGCGCGACGGTCCTGCTTTGACTGATGCATATTTGTCGTCTTTTTTTTTCTCTTTGTGGGGATGGGGGGGGGGCTTTTTAGGGGGTTTAAAGGGGAACGGAACAGGAACAAATCTGCAAAACTGCCAGTTTTGAGGGGTCCCCAAGAAAAGACACACTCACGCACATGGTTATTGAAGGTTCCTTTTTCACAGAGAGTTGTCATGAAGTTCGGCAGATTGGAAGCAGATGGGAAAGTCTTGTGACTATCGGCACTTGGAGCTCTGCTTCGTTTTAGACATACCATGGGAGGTGACTGGTCGCTGGAGATATGCTGGGCCATCCGTGGCAATGGCAAAAGCCATCGAGGCTGGACCTGCTTCTCATTCTTGAGAAGGTGGCTATGTTGAGCATGTTGATACGCTTGTGGGGGTCGTAACATCCAGCAGCGGGAACACCTCTTGGCTCCTTCATGGCCCTGTCAGGGCGTTTGTCACGGTGGCCAGATCATCATGTCTGCGAGCAGCTACCATCTTATCGATGGGATGCTGACTTTGCTGGGCAGCCCTCAGGCCTGGCCCACAGCTTTTGCCCTTGGCTTGTCCGGAGAGTGGGTTGATCCTTGGTCACTTTGGCAGGTTGTTGATCTGGGGGAGCATATCCTGGAGGGGCACGGCCTGACAGAAGACTCTTCCAGAACTGGATGTTCAGGCCGTGCAAAGGTGCAACTAATTCAGCTAGTACCTGATTTGCTCTCGCACGAGTACTCCTGTGACTTGTCTGCCGCAGTGCATGTACACGAGTCACTGACGACACGATTGGCAGTACATGTAGAAGTACCTGAGGGATTGCACAAGGTATCCACAAACACGGGGGGGACCTGGCCCCAATTTGTTCACATGCAGCATGATTTTTTGTCCTGTCTCTCCTGTTTCTTGGTGTATTTGGGTGCGTCAACAGGGCAAATTTGAAGATCGTCGTCATGATCTGTGGGCTCAGGTGAGGACCCCGCAGACAAGGCCACCTTTGGAGGCGGCAGGAAGTTTCCGCCCATCGAGAGCGAGGAGCGCGCCTCCCCGGGCTTTGAGGAGTCACCGGCGGGGTCCATTTCTTAGCTGACGAATGCAGGACGAGACTTTTTGGCCTTGCTGCCTTGCCAGTTCTGCTCGCAACCAAGGTCCTCCATCACTCTTTGCTTTGTCTTTACAGCAGGCGCTCGAGAACTAGTTGCCACTGATCCTGTACTGGCATCGCAGTCACTTGGATTACTGCCTGGGCCTTACTTGGCATCTCTCACAAGATGGATCAATCCACTGCTTGGGAGGGGTTGGGTGTTGGGCAATGTTGGAACATGTTGGATGGTTGGAACAACGAGAGCCTGACCTCTCTGATTTAAGGCGCGGATATTTGCGGGAAGTTCTGCGACATGCGGGTGACGGCAGTGGATACGAGTGCCAAGAAGATGAAGGCGCATTCATGCGTCTTGGCTAGAATGTCAGCAGCTCCATGGAGTTCTGTTGAAATGCGCCAATTGATTTGTATACCTCGAGATATACAGCAGCATTTTCCCGCCAAGGCTGGCCTTTGCCAACATGGTGGATGCGTCTGTTTTTTCGACCCTCTTGCAGAGAAAGCTACCTCAGCTGCCGTGGCCGGCAGGGCTGCTGGAGCGAGGCGACTTGACAAAAGCCAAGACAGCCTCGCTCAGGTAACCGTTTGTTGGTGTGGATTGGTGGTTTGAGTGAGCGTTTCAAGCCCTGGTTTGAATGCGAGACCATCCTGCAACCTCCAAACCACCAAGGGGAAGCAACAGTTCGTGTCTGGTGTTGCGCATGTTGTGAGGTCCCCGGTATGCTCGAGGACTTCAGGTATCCATAGGAGTGCCCTGGCTGAAGTTGCAGACAGCCGGCGCCCAAGTCCCATGTTTGTGTCTTTGACAGGCGCTTCATGGTGCCTATACATCTAGGAGGCCGCATGCGACGACTGGACGCGTCCCAAAGCTGCACTGGCGTTGGCAGTTTGAGGCAAGTCCGTGCAATCCTAACTGCCTGCATGTTGTTCTCGAGGCTGACTATTTTGGCACGATAGTGAACCGCACTGCCCGCATTGCGGCGGCAGCGCATCCTGGGCAGGCAGCGAAGTGGGGAATTCGCCATGGTTGCCTCGGATGGGCTTTGCTCATATTTTCGATCAGGCTTTTCTGACACACCCACACACACACACACCCACACATTTTTTGATGCTGGGTCTTTGCTAGATGTTCTTTTCGGGGCACGAGACGAGGCCCGGTGGAGGGTGGGGCTGCAGGCGGCTTTCTGTGAAGTGCAGATGCATGGTTATTGGTCAGGCCTAAGCACTTGCTAACGAAGCTTTGCAATTTAAGAGGCCAGTTGCTTCTTTTAATGCAGAAGCTCTCGGATTCATATTTGTCCAGGCAACATCCACGAACATTCCTCTTGTTTGGGTGTATCTCATGACAAGTGGCAATTGTCTTTATACCACTTGCGACACGGGGCGACTTGAGCAGGTAGCCCTGCCGCTACACGGGGGTGCATTCCTTGAATCCGCAGTTTCTATTAGGATCCGAGACCCCATTCAGGTAGGCGGTTTCCTTGTGGTTTGTTCCTTTAACATGCCCAAACAAGTCACTTCTTGAGACAAACCCATATACTTGACTTTCTGTTTGTTTCCCCAACAGCTGAAAGCTTTGGGGTCTCAGCCCAGATAGGCTCCGGGGTAAGGTTTCACGAGGGTTCCACGAAGGTTCCACCAGGGTTCCACCAGGGTTCCACGAGGGCTTCACGAGGTTCTGCGAGGGAAGCGGGGTGGTGCGAGCACTAAAAAGCGCACCGCATGCTGTTGGGGATATCACCTGAGCTTATTTTGGTGTAGCGGACGGGAATTGGAAAAGTTTCAACTAAGGTCACCTCCGCTAAGCGTCACTGGTAGCGCCATTGCCCCTTCTGCAAGGATGGTCGGGGGTGGGGGGAGGCAAAATGGCTGTGGGTCAAAAATAGATACCCAAAATGGAACGTCCCCTGCTGGTTTAAGTTTGACTCATACCCAAAGGATGCCTGGACCAATGCTTGGTCTGAACTTTCAGCCCACACGGTCGCGCAGGTGCTGCTGGGTGGCGACATGCCGCTGGACGCCGACGCACAACGCCGGCTTCCGGGGCTGCAGTGGCAACAGCCGCCGGTTCTGCCAGGATCGCGTCGGTGCCTTTTGGTTACACACGAAAACGGTGGGCCCCCGCTGGCTGAGAACCCTTTTTTTGTGGAGCTTCGGCCAACAGTCTGTTCATTTGGCTGGAGATGGACTATGGAGGCTGTGAGTGATGTTGCTGCAATCCAGAAAAGGACACCCAGAATGGCGAACAGCCTAGCCTTTGAATGGGAATCGGTCTGTGGGAACCTAGCAAGTGGCCTCAGAAGAGAAAGTGAGTTCATTCAAAGCAAAACGGCACAATTTGAGGAAACTCACTTGCAGTCTTAGGGCCTCAAGGCAATGCCAAGCCATTCTTGTGTCAGGATTCACTGATTTGCCTTGACTTCCGCAGGATATCCACAAATGATTCCGCAGCCGATGCTGCAGCCAATGCCGCCGCAGCATGCGATGAAACCGCCGGGATACCCACCAATGATGCATGGGGGCTATCAGTGTCTTGGTTCAAGTACTTGGCATATTCCGCGATATGTTTTGCTGCTATGTTTAGATTCGTGTTCGCCAACGAGATGATGTCTACCGGCCAGCTCGCATTGAGGACTGCCGCCCAACCTGTCAATTGGATTCCTGGGCAGCCCATTCCTTCACCGTCACCGGCACCTCAGCCTCAACCTCAAGGACCAGGCAAGACATTCCTCAGGTTGCTAGGTCTCTTGACATCAGGCTTCCTTAGACATGTCCTGAGCGCCGTTCGAGCCCTAAGGGAGATGTTGTTCTCCGGTGATTTCCTTTGACTCCCCGAAATCCCTCAAGAACACGCTTCGCAGGGTGGTCGATTCTGCGGCTTGGCGCTTTTGCCCTGAAGGCGGGGATGCGATGTTTGTTTTTTAAGCCGAGAGCTGCAAGAGCTTGCGATGTCTCTGGTTGGCTTCCTGAGTTTGTGTTTGGTTCGGTTGGCAAGTCGAACAGGTTCCTCAGAGCATCAATTCCCCACTAAACACGGGATTGGTACGGTTCAACTTGGGAGACTCCGAAGTTTACAGTACAGCTTCATTGCGGCACTACAGGAATCCCATTGTCGCCTCTGTTACAAGTGACGCAGCAAATACTTCCAAGCAACATTATTCCTAGCGAGAGCCACGCTGCAGCGACACAATTTGCTCATGGGAAGCGGCAAACACTTTCTTGCGAACACTGACATTTTGTTGCGAACAGACAGAAGCACACCACACAGACACACACACACAGACATACAGACATACACACACACACAGTCACAGAGTCACACGCAGCGGCGAAGACACACACACACACACAGACAGAGAGACACAAATGCCGGGCTTTGTGCGGAGAAACTGCTTGCGCCAGGGCATCGACAGCCCGATTGTGTTGAACGAGCTTCGCTTGTTTGGAGAGGGAGGCAGGGTTTGCCCTTCGGCCTTTCTGGGTTCGCTTGTGGGAAGGCCCATGTGCTCCTTTGTTTTGAGGCTGCCTTTGTGTATGGTTTTAAAGGGAAACCCGCATGGCTCTGGACGCTAAGAGTTGGTCCCATCGCAAAAATAGTTCATGGCATCCTGGAAGAAGCCTGATGTCTGATGTCCACCAGTTTGGGTCCATTCAAATTCACTACTTGCCTTTGCTATGCAAACGCAGTGGAAACTTCGAGGAGCCTCTTTGCCTCGTTTCGTGGGAGGCAGCTTCGACACCTTCCCCGAGCCCAAGACGAAGGGACGCGTTTCGGCCTGACAGTCTAGCAGGCTTCCTTCCCCCGAGATTTGTCAGGAGGATCATGATGTGTTCTGCACTGGTCTTTTTTGCCTGAAGTGTCAAATCTCGTGGTCACCCTCATTAGCTAGCACGAAGTGCTACAGCTAATGCAACTTCTGTCCTGCAGCTTCCGTTTGGGGACTCTCCCAGGCTGGTTGGCCTAACGAACATCCTGTGCGCTATCTTATCGGTTTGCAGTTTCTTGATGCTTGAATCGCTGCATGGGCGCGGGCCATTCGCAATATCAGATACTGACACGCTGCTCAAAGGGCATGACGACTGGCGGATCACAAGGCTCCGCCCGCGTTTTCAACAGCACCCAATCGGCAAGCAAGTTTGGTGGAGAGAAGATGCAATCGTCGAGTTGAGCACTCAAACCAACTTGCCACAGACGTAAGTGGATCGTGTTTGAGGATTCTGCTCCATAGCTGCAAGTTCCATTTCTGAATACACTTCAGTGATTTCGCCGGGCATGGAGCAGAGACTCAAATCCAAGTTTCTGGTTTTCCCCGGCCGCACGAGACGGCTCCGCCTGGCCTTGGAAGGCAGGCAGCTCCCTTCGGCTGCCTTAGAGCAAGTGTCTTCTGATGGCCTGTGAACTCTCTGAGGCCGTGATTAGGCTTGCACCGCAGGTGAAAAGGCCAAGAGCAAATCACAGGTGTGCGAACCGCACTCGGGAGGCATCTTCGTTTCGACAGAGGCAGTAGTTCTCACTGCACTTGCGCAATAGATCTGAGCGCGTGGCTCGCTGTTGGACACAGTATAGCCAGTTTGTGAGACCGAAGCAAACAGCAGGCTACTGCGCTTGGATTAGACTCGATGCCAGATGTACTGCCGTGCTGAAATGCAGTCTCGCAAGGAATCTAGCTGCACAAGTTCGCTCGTGCATGGAACATGTGTCTACAGGAGACTGCAGCGCTGGCTTGATATCAGCCTCATTGATAGTGCCGCTGGCTTGCAACAAAGGCAACCCAGGTGCAACGGTCGCCGGTTGTCGAGCTTCATCGCAAAATGGTGTGCCGCAGTCAGCCTTGTGTACAAGCGGGGATCTGCTGTCATGTGACTCCAAGATGCCCAAACTGTAATTGTTTGGAGCTTTTTCTGATGACTTGTTGGCTTTATATTATACTGTCTAGCCAGCTGCAGGTCCATGCAAATGGGCATCATGCTTACCTACCATTGAACACAGGTTTGAGAGATTCATGGACACGTTTCGCAAGGCTGTGATTTAAAGTCGGCAAGCAGCATCAAGGAGCTGCCTCAGCCAAGCCAATCATGCGATTCAGGTGCTTCAATCTTGCCAGTCAGCCGGGTGCAGTCATTCGAAGATGAACTAGTCTTGCTTGCTGGTACTGTCATGTGCAGTTGTTTCGGCTCGACAGCATCCTTGAGCGCGGTGCTGCTAGTCCCCGGACCCTTGATATCATGGCCAAGTCCAGCCTGCTTCCTGCGATTCTTGCGGCTTTTGCCCTGGGCTCCCTGTCATTTGTCGGCTATCAGCCGGCAGCCCGCACTGCGGACAACCGCGTGGCCATGAGGGGAGCTGCAGTCGAGTGGGACCCAAAGCTGAGCCGAGATGTGGTGGAGGTCATGTTCACGGCTCCGGCGCAAGGTGCGCGTGCGCGCATGCTGGTGCGGTCTGACGCTGACGTCATGGAGGTGCTGAAGGATGGACGAAAGAAGTTGGGATTCGACCAGGAGTGGATGCCAGACACCGACTTCAAGCTCTACAATGCTGAGGATGAGGACGCCGGACCTATGAAGGGCAAGATGAAGGACAACGGTCTCATCGACTTCTCCTTCGAGATCCACATGTACTACGAGCCCCAGTGATGCGGTAAGGGGGCTCGCTAGCTGCTAGTGTGGTCTGAATGCATCGTTCATGCATGCTCCATGCATGGTTCATGATGCTCCATGATGCTCCAACATCCGGCGTGTCGCTGCACAGCGGTACTTATCATGCCCGTCAATTCGGTTTGCGATTTTTTGCAGTTACCTGAATGTACCATTTTTCCCATTGATGGCTGTTTGGCGGGAATGATGCACTCCTGGACATGACAACATGCAGGGGTGTGTTTGGATGTGTTGGCGTATTTTTCAGTCAAGCACGTTTTCCTGCGCTGACATGTTGGGCAGAAAAGAGTGCCGGTGGACACTTGAGACATGACTAGGCAACTGTTTGGGAACCGATTGAAAGAAACCTAGGTTTCTTAGATTGCTCTTCAGCAAGGCTCTTGACACGCTGTGATATGCCTACCATCAATTTACAAGCTGACTCACCAAGCGCTTGAACTTGCCAATTGCGCTGGGTACACAACTTAAGGGCTTCGCCGGTCAGAGCATGATGTAACGCTTTGCATTGTGAACAGTTGACTTCTTCGTGGCCTACGGCCATTTTGTTTTGTGTCTATGTTTGCTTGTGATGTGTCAATTTCGTGGTTGTATGAGACTGTATGGCTTGATTCTATGATGCATTTACTTACTGCATTCACCCTTGCCGCATTTTGGATTGACCAGCAAGTGTATCATGTTGCAGCGTACAATCTGGTGGCTGCCTTATGCCAATCCTAATCAGCGCTTTTCCTTCCTTTTCAGGCCGAGCAGGAGAGCTGAGTGAGTGACTGTTTGATGAGTTGCACGGCTGCAGAATCAAAGACAGTTGGGTGAGTGGATGGTTGATGAGTGGGCGACCGGATGCAAGCACGGGTGCAACAAAATTTTGCGATGAAGTATCTAGCAGCTGTCAGAAGCTGCATGATTCTGCATCGCTAGTTGTGGAGCAACAGAAGGACATGTCAAGGCTTGAACCTTGGCACGCACATTGCACTTAGACACACACACACACACATGCAAATTATGCACATGATGCGCAGTTGGACAAACTGCAGTGACAACTCAGGGCTGATAGGCGCGTCAATGTTCGTCTTTGGGCCGTGCGCATCTGGAGGAGTTGCCTTCCCAGTTTGATTGCATGCTAGAGTTGTATCTCTCATGTCAAAAGTGTTTGATGGCTCTGGGCATCCTTTATGGGTGCTGTCATGTTCTACTTCTTCAAGGTGTTTTTGGCTCGACAGCATCCTTGAGCGCGGTGCTGCTAGTCCCCGGACCCTTGATATCATGGCCAAGTCCAGCCTGCTTCCTGCGATTCTTGCAGCATTTGCCCTGGGCTCCCTGTCATTTGTGGGCTATCAGCCGGCAGCCCGCACTGCGGACAACCGCGTGGCCATGAGGGGAGCTGCAGTCGAGTGGGACCCAAAGCTGAGCCGAGATGTGGTGGAGGTCATGTTCACGGCTCCGGCGCAAGGTGCGCGTGCGCGCATGCTGGTGCGGTCTGACGCTGACGTCATGGAGGTGCTGAAGGATGGACGAAAGAAGTTGGGATTCGACCAGGAGTGGATGCCAGACACCGACTTCAAGCTCTACAATGCTGAGGATGAGGACGCCGGACCTATGAAGGGCAAGATGAAGGACAACGGTCTCATCGACTTCTCCTTCGAGATCCACATGTACTACGAGCCCCAGTGATGCGGTAAGGGGGCTCGCTAGCTGCTAGTGTTGTTTGAATGCATCGTTCATTTGCATGCTCCATGATGCCCCATGATGCTCCAACATCCATCGAGTCGCTGCACAGCGATACCTGTCATGACCGTCAATCTGTTTTTGCACATGAATGTACGAATGTTTCCCGTGCTGGCTGTTTGGCGGGAATGATGCACTCCTGGACACGGCAACATGCAAAGTGTTTCAGGATTTCAGTCTGGCACTTCTCCATCCACGCGCTTTTGAGCAGGTTTAAAATTGAGCGTTGCGGGGGTAATGAAGAGTAGTCGGGTGAGTGGATGAGCAACGGCATGATGCATGTCAGCAAAGAGTCAGGGCAATGTGTAAAGCAGGTTGCCGACAAAAGAGAAACAAGAAAGGTGAGCTGCCAGCTGTGATCTGGATATGTCGGGCATCAGGCATATTTAGGTTGACACTGACACGTGTGTGAGGTTTGTTAGAGTGCAGCATTGTTGGGGATGGCGCCAACCCAAACCCGTGTCTTTCTGGCGTTCTCTCGTGGATGTTGGCGTTGGCTATGGCGAGCAGGACTATCAAGAGCCGGAGAGCAGGTGTTGTCAACCAACAACATGCGCTCTTAGCAGTATGAGAGCTGCCAGGGTACCGTGGTAAGCAGACCTGATTTGGCAGGTTCACACTAAATTGCACAGGTGTGCATGTGCTTTGTGAACGGTGCTTGTCAGATATGTTGCCTGGGAGGCAAATTTGATCGTTCAGGGCATCCTTTATGGGTGCTGTCATGTTCTACTTCAAGGTGTTTTTGGCTCGACAGCATCCTTGAGCGCGGTGCTGCTAGTCCCCGGACCCTTGATATCATGGCCAAGTCCAGCCTGCTTCCTGCGATTCTTGCAGCATTTGCCCTGGGCTCCCTGTCATTTGTGGGCTATCAGCCGGCAGCCCGCACTGCGGACAACCGCGTGGCCATGAGGGGAGCTGCAGTCGAGTGGGACCCAAAGCTGAGCCGAGATGTGGTGGAGGTCATGTTCACGGCTCCGGCGCAAGGTGCGCGTGCGCGCATGCTGGTGCGGTCTGACGCTGACGTCATGGAGGTGCTGAAGGATGGACGAAAGAAGTTGGGGTTCGACCAGGAGTGGATGCCAGACACCGACTTCAAGCTCTACAATGCTGAGGATGAGGACGCCGGACCTATGAAGGGCAAGATGAAGGACAACGGTCTCATCGACTTCTCCTTCGAGATCCACATGTACTACGAGCCCCAGTAAGAGATTCCTGTACTAGGCCTGAGATGAAGTAGCGCGCCCTTGTGCAGACATTTCTCTAGAGTTCTCCGCAACAGTCAGCCTTCTGTCCGAGGAGGCACCAGCGGAAAAGCAGCTGCTTTGCTGGCAACCCAGTGTAGCTTTCTTTCAATTCTACATTGCCTGTTGGTTTTCAAGAGATCTTGGATCAACGTCTAGCTGTACATTTGACAACACCAGCGATTTCCTTTCTCTCTCCCAAGGTATTGCTTTGGGTTTGCCACCTTTTGCATGGGAGGAATGATTGGATGAAATGCATCATTATGCAGGGCAGGTGCAAGAGGGGCTCATATCAAGTGTTGCATGTGTCGCTTGGCAGGCGCCCGAGCGCTTCTCAATAGTGATGCAATTGTTTCTAGGTGAAGCAGGATTGATGGGTGGTGCCGTCATGTTCTGCTTCACGAAGTTGTTTTTGGCTCGACAGCATCCTTGAGCGCCGTGCCGCTAGTGCCGGACCCTTGATATCATGGCCAAGTCCAGCCTGCTTCCTGCGATTCTTGCGGCATTTGCCTTGGGCTCCCTGTCATTTGTGGGCTATCAGCCGGCAGCCCGCACTGCGGACAACCGCGTGGCCATGAGGGGAGCTGCAGTCGAGTGGGACCCAAAGCTGAGCCGAGATGTGGTGGAGGTCATGTTCACGGCTCCGGCGCAAGGTGCGCGTGCGCGCATGCTGGTGCGGTCTGACGCTGACGTCATGGAGGTGCTGAAGGATGGACGAAAGAAGTTGGGATTCGACCAGGAGTGGATGCCAGACACCGACTTCAAGCTCTACAATGCTGAGGATGAGGACGCCGGACCTATGAAGGGCAAGATGAAGGACAACGGTCTCATCGACTTCTCCTTCGAGATCCACATGTACTACGAGCCCCAGTAAGAGATTCCTGTACTAGGCCTGAGATGAAGTAGCCCGGCCTTTGTGCAGACATTTCTCTAGAGTTCTCCGCAACAGTCAGCCTTCTGTCCGAGGAGGCGCACACGCGGAAGAAAAGACCAGCTTGATAGAAGCCACGCTCGAGCATTGGAACAAATAGCTTCAGGTTGACGCATGTATTCGCTAAGATTTCGGTGTTTGCTTGTGCATGTTGGCTCGACTGTCCGGTAGATCGGCATGACTGAAGGCGACAAAGTATGGCGCGCTTCGCCTTTCGGAATCTGGGCCTCTTTGCCCGAGGCGCCGCTGCAGTTCCGGCCGTTGCATGGCATAGACGCGTCGCATGCGAACCGACGCAGCAGAAGCTGAGCGCCCAGGTTCCAGAAACCATCTCACCCTGGCTTCAAGCGGCACTGCACGAGCAGATGCGCAAGCAAGGTGAGTCGTTTGAGCACACGTTTGCTGCATCCAAGAATGAATTTGATGATGCATGGGTCTGGTCTTGGGCACTGCTGGGTGCCTTTCCTGCCAACCGATCCTCGCGACACTATGAGAGGAGGCGGGTTTCCACGGCCGACTCTGCCAACAGATTTCGAGACAAATCACGGGTGGAGTCCAAGTGGGGCTTGTGTGAGTTTGGCGGGTGGGCCGAATTCTACGACGGATTTGGTGATTTGATCGCGTGTGGATATGAAGCTGTGGTGTATGGGGATCACGGGCCATATGTTGAGTTCAAAGAGGAGCAACTCCAGTGGGCCGCTTTCACTCGCCACAAGCTGAAGGGTCCAGGCAGGACCCACATGGAGCATTACAATGCTGACGAGTCAGTCAAGGTCTATGACCAATTCCGCACGGTGGCCAACCAGCCGAATCCACCCCCGGACAATGAATTCTCATGTGCAAACAATCGCCCGGAAGGGTATGCAGATTATCGACCAGGACGAATCTACATGTCCTGCGATGCATTTTTTGCATCCGGAGGCAAGCTCGTTCTGCCAGTTCAAGCAGAATATTGATCACGCAAAATGTGGCGTTGCTTGAGGCACATGTCAACAGAGAGAGGGTTTGAAATCACTTGGAATATGCACAACACGGATTGACAAACATGTTTTTTTGTGGCCTTCAGACACGCAGCTGCGCAGCATTCGCATGTCTGAAATTAGGCAGAGACTGTTTGCAAAAAGAAAAGAGAAAAGAAAGATATATTCAATGTGATTCTCGGCATAGTTGGATTGGCACGCCAGCAAAGAACAACTGCACAGCTGCACAGCTGCACAGCTGCACAGCTGCACAGCTGCACAGCTCTTTGGCCATGGCAACAGGCCGAAGCCCCTGTGGCAGCATTGCGGGAACACGAGTCCAGTTTAGTCTATGGTCATTTGGGAGGGCATGTCTGGCTAATCTCAATCACAAAACCAGGGGCGTCACCAAGTGTCCCATATCCTTCACGGGAGCGACAGGTTTTGACCGTGGCTACATGGCTATGTGTATACGTTCATGGCAAACTAGTTCAAAGCAACCTGCAAAGCACCTGGCCTTGAGGCCTGTGTTTCAGTGGCATCTCTCCGGCAGTTCCGGCAGTGAGGAGCCTGTGACGCATTCCGGTCATGTCCGCAAAGTTACCACATATTTTTTAGTTTAGGGTTTAGGTTTCGGGTTTTGGTGTTGGTGTTGCCCTGTATCTTGCCATTTGAGCTGCAAAGGTTTCCACAATCTATAATCCCCTGCAGGGATTTCCGGTCGGTTCCTGGATTTGCTTGCTTTGAACAACCCAATGGGTGAGCTCGTCGCAAGTTGTGCACTGAGCATCTTAAATACGAGTGTAGAGCTTTAGGGTTGGTTTAGGGTTGGTTTGGGTTTGGTTTAGGGTTGGTTTGGGGTTGGCTTAGGGTTGGTTTAGGGTTGGTTTGGGGTTGGTTTGGGGTTGGTTTAGGGTTGGTTAAGGGTTGGTTTATGTTTGGTTAAGGGTTGGTTTGGGGTTGGCTTAGGGTTGGTTTGGGGTTGGTTTGAGGGTTGGTTTGGGGTTGGCTTAGGGTTGGTTTGGGGTTGGTTTGGGGGTTGGTTTGGGGTTGGTTTAGGGTTGGTTTAGGGTTGGTTTAGGGTTGGTTTAGGGTTGGTTTGGGGTTGGCTTAGGGTTGGTTTAGGGTTGGATTACGGTTGGTTTGGGGTTGGTTTGGGGTTGGTTTGAGGGTTGGTTTGGGGTTGGCTTAGGGTTGGTTTGGGGTTGGTTTGGGGGTTGGTTTGGGGTTGGTTTAGGGTTAGTTTAGGGTTGGTTTAGGGTTGGTTTAGGGTTGGTTTAGGGTTCATTTGGGGTTGAGGGTCTAATACGCTAGGCTACTATGGTCGCTTTGCTCAGAGGCGACTTTTCCTGCCAGGACGGGAGGACCAAGCCAGACAGCATTCGTGGCTTGAGCTGAACTGTTGGTTTGCTTGTCTTGGATGCATTTTATTGGGCACCCAAACGCACAAAGGCACACAGACAGACAAACAGACACAGACAGACAAACAGACACAGACAGACAAAAAGACAGACACAGACAAACACAGGAGAACAGAAACATATACACACACACACACACAAAGAAATACTAACACACAAAGAAACACACACACACACACAAACACAGATTTCCATGAATTCGGTGTCAGTGCGTTGAGTGTCCCGCGCCGTTCTCCTGAGTGAACTCAAATGTGCAGTGAAGAAGGGCTATTTTCACGCAAAAACGCCCGCAAAGCTGAAGAGTCAGAGCCACCATGTTGGCAGAACCGTGTTGGCTTTCCAGACCGCTTCTCCATTCGTTTGGATTCATGGTCCGGGCGCCTGAGCCGCTGGAGGCGGCTGTTGCTGGCGGGGTGTGCGTCGCTTTGTTCGCCTGGCTGCGTCGAGGACGGCCAGCCTCCTACCCAGGAGATGCCATACCCGAGTCGAGCCGCTTGAAGCGAAGCGCCACATTTCAGGCTGCAGGTCTTAAGGTGGAAAAGGGCTGGGCGCCAGTGGAGGAAGAATCTTCGGACTTGCTGCCGCACAAAGTCTCCGGCCAGCAAGTCTGGGTGTTCAAGCCTGGCTCCGGTGGCGAGAACCCCAGCTTCAACGCGGCAGAGAACCCCAACAGTGCAGACATCATTTTCCGGCTGGCAAAGCTGCAAGAATGGAAGGGCCCTCACCCAGACGGTTCTCCCAAAGATGTGCTAGGTGCTGCTCGCAAAGGTTTTAACTTCTATCAGATGCTGCAGTGCAAAGATGGGCAGTGGGCGGGCGACTACGGAGGTCCGCATTTCCTATTGCCCGGCTTTGTAATTGCCGCATATATCACTGGTCATCTTGACACAATTTTCCCGGCTCCTCACCAGAAGGCAATCCAGGTCTACCTCCTCAATCATCAGCAGGAGGATGGGGGCTGGGGAAGCCATATTGAGTCTCCGAGTACTATGTTTGGAACCGTGATCAACTACGTTGCCTTGAGGCTAGTCGGAGTGAAGTCACAAGAACCCGCCTGTGACAAGGCTCGGGCATTCATGCATCAGCACGGCGGAGCTCTCTACGCGCCCTCATGGGCCAAATTCTGGCTGGCTGTCTTGGGGGTCTACGAGTGGGAGGGCATTGCGCCGGTTCCGCCAGAGATGTGGCTGTTGCCGCAATGGTTCCCGCTTCATCCTGGGAGGTTCTGGTGCCATTGCCGGATGGTGTACCTGCCGATGTGCTGGCTCTATGCCCGTCGCTTCTCCTACAGCGCCTTGCAAGACCCCCTCACCGTGGCCTTACGCTCTGAACTTTACACTGAGAAGTATGGCGACATTGACTGGAGGTTGGGCAAGACCAAGCCTTGGGCACATGATGCAAAGTGTGTGCACAGCTGAACATTGCATGTGCCAGCCGAGTTCATAGTTCCTGTCATTTTGCACTTTCCCCGCATGCGTGGGAGGCGACATGTGCATAGCGTTGCTGACATCGACAACTACAGCCCTCTCAACCCGGTAATGCGACTTCTTCAGGCCTTGTGAGCGCGTTGACTCTTTGACACTTCAGATCTTCATGCATTAAAACGAGACACCTGTGTGTGTGGATTCAACTCATATCATGCTTCCAGGACGTTCTTCTTGTATACGAGCGATTTGGACCTTGGAAATGGCTGCGGCAATTGAGCTGTGACTTTGCACTGGAGTACATCCATTCGGAGGACAGCCTTGGACGTTGTCCTAACATCGACCTTTCACTGACGTGAAGTTGCTTGTGCGACCGTCCAGGATGTGGAGACCAACTACTTGACCATCGGCCCAGTCAGCAAGGCAGTGCCAATGTGGATGCGTTCGCTTGGGGGCAAGGGCAGACTTGAAATGCTTTGTTTCAGTTGGCTGTCAGTGGACTGTGTCTGTGTGTGTGCGTGTGTGCGCGTGAGGCTCTTCATTTACTTGTGAGCTGGGTGGCTGCCGGTGGACCAGGTGAATCAGCAAGCAAGAGCCGCTCCTTCCAAGCACACATTGCACGCGTTCCAGCTTATCTCTGGGTGGCAGAGGATCTTGGTTTGCACAAAGTGTTTCATTTATCCGCCTACGCAGTGCCATAGGGCGTACACTCTTGCATACTAAGTGCCACTTTGAATGACCCCGCTGAGACAAGTAGCGCAATACCAATGTGTGTTTGTTTGTGTGTTTGTTTGTTTGTTTGTTTGTTTGTTTGTTTGTTTCTTTGTTTGTTTGTTTGTTTGTTTGTTTGTTTCTTTGTTTGCATGGTTTCCAGTTGTTTTCCCAGACATTCGCAAACAACGGGGCGCCCGATCCATTTTGGGAAACACTCATGTGACGTCTTTCTCGGGGCACCGCCTTTTGGTTTAAACGGACACCGAAAGGAAACAAAGCCTCATGAACTCTTGCCCCTTGTGGTTGGCATAGGGAAACATAGAGGACCAAAGGTTTGAGAACTCCCCGCCCCCCGCCCAGTTGTTCGTTCACGGCCATGGTCTTTTTATAAATTGGATCCAGCTCAAAAATGGTTGGTGGACATTTTCATCCCCACCCAATTCTGATGTCATTTTGGGTCCCTAATTCAATTTCATAGCCTCCCATCCACAAACATGGAACCTCACAGGGAGGTCCTGGTTTGGACCATTTTTAATTGAAATGGGGACCAGAGCGTGCCCATTCCAAAAGAAAGAGAAGTTTCGGTTTTCCTTTCGGTTTCACTTTAATCCCCAACCAAAGAAGGGGGGGCGGGTACCTCAACTCCAACAAACAGCAACCAGCGCCGCCAAGTTCATTTTGCTCGCGCGCGCGCGAGAATTCGATTCTGAGATCCGAGGATGGCATGAAAGTCCAGGGCTACAATGGCAGCATGGCATGGGACACCTCCTTCGCCGTGCAGGCGGCGGTGGAGACGGACCTGGTGGACGAGTTCAAGGCGCGAGGGTGTGTTTCGACCCCCGAAAAAGGGGAGGGACGTCTTGTTTTTTGGGCGGCAGTTACCCGTTTCTTTGGGGGTTCTGAGGGGAATCCAAGAGGAACCCCGCTCCATTTTGGAGGGGTCACCTAAAAAAGACACACCCACATGGGAATTTCGGGGATTTCCCTTTGTTTGTCCTCACCAAGCCGGAAACGGGTACCCTCCAAAAAAAGGCCAACAAAGGCCACCAACCCAATGAGTTCCGCTTGAGTCCCAGTCGGGCGGGGGGGTCGTTTGGTCGTTTGCAGCCCCGTTAGGAGATGAGCAAAAAGGCGTGGGGCTGGCTGGTGCGCGAGCAGGTGAGAAGCTTGCCACAGGGAGATTGGAAGCATTGGCGCCAGCCTATTCAGGGTGGCTGGGGCTTCAGCGCAGGGCTCAGTTGGAAGGGGATGCGTTTGGCCACCGAGGCTGCTTGTCGCACGTATCCTCCCACCCACTAACATGGCACCTGACAGAGGGCCCCCTTCAAAAGGAAACTGATCTTCCAAGTACTTCCAGCAGATGCTATGCTAGTGGGAGGAAGGGTAACACTTCAGGCACTGCTGAGCAGGCATGGCCAGTGTCTGAAACTTGGAAAGCAGCGGCTTCGTGAGATGGTGCGTTTGTCTCGACGCGGGCAGGATGCATTACACACACGGGTTCTGCGATTTCATACAGCCGGGTTCATGTGAGGATACCACTGCAGAAGCCTTCAAGGCAGTGCTTCAGCTGAGAAAGTTTGCATGCATCCAGACGGAAGGCCGCTCGCCAGCAGACCTAAACCTGAAGTGTCCAGGTGGACATGTCTTTTTTGATGCTACCCCTTTTTTGGTTGGTTTTAAAAAAGGACACCAAAAGGAAGGCTACATTTTTTTTTGGTCCAACCTGAAAAAGACACGCCCGTGTACACTCGCTTCTCCCCAGGAGAGCACATGCCAGATCAGCACCTCTTTGACACAGCTCGCTTCCTGCTGTCATACCAAAACAACGACGGTGGCTGGGCGACCTACGAGAATACTCGTGGCTGGAAGTGGTACGAGCTCATGAATCCCTCGGAGGCCAGACATTTCTATGCTCGCCACCTGGCCATCACTGCATGTGACCAACAGTTTCATGAGCAGCATCCACAAGCGCGCTGGCCATGTGGCTAGTTCTACCTGGGTTTCATGGGAAGGGTCCTGGGCCCCTGGGCCCCTGGGCTCGTACCAACCGCCTGAAATTTTGGGCGCTGAAGCTTTTTTTGTTTCTTTTTTTTCTGTGTGGACGCCAGGTCTTTGGGGATATCATGATCGACTATTCCTACGTGGAGTGCAGCGCTTCCGCCATGCAGGCCTTGGGCATGGAGCTGCAGGAGTTGCCTCCCGTTTTGGGACCAAACGAGGGAATCCGTTGGAATGCTTGGAGACGGCTCTTGGGACCCGGTTGACCTTGAATGGCATTTACGAATGTCATTTGGGTCGTCAAAAATAGGTCCCTTGGTGTCATTGTTTTTCACGGGCAGCGCAGCTTGCCCAGCGGCAGGGTCCAAAAAGAAACCCGGTTCACTTTTGACGCCCCTTTGAGGATGTCTCAAATGTTTAAAAACAAGGGTTTGGTTCGGTTTTCCTTTTGGTTTTCCTTCACCATTCACAAAGGGTACCATGCCTCAAAAAGAAAGACGCAACCACTCAAATGGACCCAGATGGCCGCATGCCTTTAGGCCCTGGCTCTCTTCTCGGAGCAGTTTCCCACACACCGCCGCCGGGAGATTGCCACGGCCATCCGACGGGGGGCGCGCTTCATTGAAGCGATGCCGCTTTGCGGCAGGGGTTCTCAATAGATACTTGCACTTGGGTATGGGTCAAAAGTAGGGTGACCCCAAGATGGAACCCTGGTAAGTGGAAACACGGACTAGAAGCTGCGGTCCAATTCCTGGTGGTTTAACTTTGACCCATACCCGAATGGATACCTTGGCATGTGCCAACAAGATTAATGGCCGCCAAAACTGATTGGAATTGACCTGACTTTCTTTTTGCGCTCGGCACGCCGCATTTCACGCAGCCAGACCTCATTTCACGCTGGTGTGCTGCATGTTGGAGCCTCTTAGCCGCGGAAAGCAACGCAAGGCAGCGAGCAGATGGGAGCTGGTATGGATGCTGGGGCAACTGCTTCACCTATGGATGCTGGTTTGGAGTGGAAGGCTGGGCATGAAATTTTGTCTGACGCATATCATCCTTGCCACTCGGCCGTTTGACAGGCCTGCTCTGTGCGGGCAGATCCAAGTCATGTAGCGCCATACGGAGGTGCGTCCAGTTCCTGCTGGGAGTTTCGGCTGCGTTTGCGGACATGTGAGCCGCAATCAAAATTCCGGCAAGTGAAGGTTAGCAAGGGACGGTCCCAAGCAGAACTCGGTGCGGCCGCTTTTGTAGTTCTTTACATTGGTTTGGGACAACTATTTTAGTGCCCACGTTTTCATTGTGACTCAGGTGCGCTGTTCATTGACTGAGGAAAGCAAGCTGCAGATGGCGGCTGGGGCGAAGACTTTGCTAACTGCTTCAATCGGGACTACGCAGTGCGAGAGAAGCTTTATGGATCTTTGCCTGCATGGCTGGGCCCCTTTTTTCTGGACCACGGAAGATCTTAAAAGACGGAGAAGCATCCCATCGACGTTGGTTACGATATGACTGAATGCATCCAGTCGGTTCCCTTTGCTCATTCCTCTCCCTCTCTCTCACTCATTTGGTTTCTTCTTTCATATTCTCTCTCATCTATAATCTGGCTATAAGACTAGAAATCTTCAGTAAAGCATCCCCATCGCCCCACGTTGGTTAGGATATCAAAAGACTGCAGCTCCAGTCAGTGTCATTTTTTTGGTCGATTTCAGCAAGGCTGCGACTCTGGCAGCACGGTGGTGCAGACCTCCTGGGCTTTGTTGGCCCTCATGGCGGCTGATTGTCAGGACGGAGCAAAATGAGAGTTGGCCCTAAAAATTGATGGGTTTCCCCTTGTTCGCCTTGTAACACAAAGGGTACCATCAACAAAAACACACCCAAATGGCCGTTTTGGCTTCTGGCCTTGATTGTTCTGCTTGCCAATACTCCAGAGCCCCCCCCCCCCCCCCATTTTTCCAACCCGAATCAGACTTTCAGCCGAACCTCCTCATCTTTTGGTCTCCCCCAAAACAGGTTGGGGGCTTAACTCAGGGGATCCCCTGCCGCGCTCCAGGAGTCCACTGCGGTGCAACGTGGAGTTCAGCTGCTATTGCGGCGTCAACTCGCATCTGGGGACTGGGCTCAGGAGAACATTGCTGGAGTGCCCAGCGCTTAGCAATCAGAACTTTCAGGTTTGGTGAGGCGAACAAATTGGGTGGCTCGTCTGTCTGTTTTGGGTACGGTTTTGAAAGGGGAAACAAGAGGACAACCGCCGAAAAGACACACACACACACACACACACCCAGTCGGGACTCACAGAGCTGACGCTCATTTTCCCATGTCCTTCATGGCAAACACCACGCACTTGTCATCTGATTACCCCCCCCGCTTGAAGTGCTCTCAGTCGAGAATCGGTTTGCAATGTGCTGTCCCGACTTACTCCGTGTCAGGTTCAACCGCTCGATTGGAATCACGCGATTTGGCTGCATGAGGCTGTGGTCGTTTTGTGCTGCTACCAAGAGCCACAGTAGGCCCGAAAGATGCAATTCCCCAAAGTAGAAGGGCGTATGGCAAAGCCAAGTTTGACACATGTTTGAGTTGCAAAGGTATGCCATTTTTTTGCTTCAACTGCTGGGAGATACTGAGGTACACCTCATTCCGGAACGTGTTCCCTCTCTGGGCACTCGGACGGTTTGCCAAAGACTATGGACCTCGCCACGGGTGCCAACTGGTGCTGTGAGATTGCCAGTGGCAGCACGTGCGCCAAGCAAAAGGAGCGCGAGAGTGCCAATTTTCTGACGGCTTGTCGGAAAAGTTGACCACATTTGCTTGTGATGTGTCAGCCAATCGACTAGACTGCTTGAACAGAGTTGAGCTTCTCCACGAAGCCGTCATATGCCAATCTGCCGACGGCTTGTCGGAAGCTTTTGTCTTGATGCCAAAGCGCTGACGAGGCGTGCCACCTGATATGTCAGGCCAGTGCTCAACTATTTTAAATCCTCAACCATTTCGAGCTCGAAGCAGGAGCCGTCACTTTGCAAAGCAACAGCTTGCAATCATGTGGTGAGCTTGCAAAGTCAAGCAAGGAGCACATTCTTTGCAAAGAAACACTAGCTGCATGTCAGCCAGGGAAGAGGAGTTCCGAACCTTTTGCTAGTAGCTTTCGCTGTCAAGGCATGATGGATCGTGAGATATTTGCAAGACTTCCGCCTGAGGCTTCTCACGCAAATCATCACCATCCAAGGCGAGCATCATCATTTTTTTTTCTGTGTGTGTGTGTGGGTCATGTGCAAGCGCCATCATCCTTTGCGCACAGGCAATTGATGCTGAATGCTGCGCTTGAACTGCAAAGTGTTATACTCCTTGAAGGAAAGCAGGTTTCGCAAGGCCAACCACCCAAATTGAATTGATTGATGCGAGGAAAGTAATGCTGGTCAGAGGGCTAGGTTGCTCTCTCTCTCTCTCTCTCTCTCTCTCTCTCTCTCTCTCTCTCTCTCTCTCTCTCTCTCTTTTTTCCTCTCTCCCTCTCTCTGTCTTGGAGAGGCTGATTTCTACAAGCTGCACGCTTCTCGTGGTCGGCAGGCTTCTGCGTGAATTTTGACTGCATTGCTCGGGCAAAGTACTGTAGTTCTGAAACTGGAAATAAGGGAACCCCCGTGAAGGACTTTCATGATTATTTGAGCTCGTTGCACACCCAAGCGAGCTCGTTGTGATTCGCCCAGAAGGATCATGTGTGAGAGCTTTGTGCCTGCCGCTTGCATTTTGTTTGCAGGCTTAGTCGCCAGCGCGGAACTGCAAGACGGCGATGCCGCAGTCTCATTCCGAAGCTTCCGGATGCCGTACCTTTTTGCGGTGGACTTGCCAATGAGGTTGCTTGCAGCTTGCAGCCACAAGCGCTGCAACAGCTACCATGTCGGCAAACCCAGCTTCGATTCATGTGTTGTGATAAGCCTGTGCCATGTATCGGTAGAGTCAGTGCCATGCGCACAGAATGAGAATCATGCAGTTTGCCACTGTTCCTTTAACACAAGCGGACGTGCTGGGCATGTGGGCCATGTTTGATGCTGCTTTGGGTCATGAGCAGCACGTGCTTTCTCGATCAATCACCAGAATGAGAAGCAGTGTGCAGCCAGTGCCCAGGTCAGACGTAACCCTCAAGTTGTCAGCAGCGGATGAGCTGCAAAAGTTGCAAGGAGAGATGCAGGCCATGCAATGAGCATTGGCATGGCAACATTCGTTCCCACACAGTCGTTGTGCTCGTATCGGTTGAACCAACAATTGCTTTCAGCTGAGTGGCTGAAAGAACATGAAAAAGCAACGCCGCAGGCAACGCCTGCTGCTTGGGCGACGGACATTGATGGCCTGGTTCCCTCCTGAGAATAGTCGCACTTTGCATGAGGGGCTAGAATTTGCAAATGGAGCAACACGGCTGCCACTCTTTGAATTGAGGCCCACGTGCGACGGCATTGCCAAACGCTCCTCTTCCTTGCCGAGACCTACTCTCAGGTCAAGACACAGCTGCCTCGTGACCTTCATCAGGCTCATGCAGTGGACATGAGAGAAGGAATGTAGCATCTTAAAACAATAGGGAGCATTGAAGGAGCGTGTCTTGCCAGCCTATTGCATTGTGAGTTCCAGTGACTGAGGCACACGTGGCTTTGTGTCAGTGAGCAAATCTTACACTGTGCCCCAGGCAGGCAAAGTCGAGGAGAAGTTGACCTGGCTGGCAGAGCAGTGCGAGGTGCTTTCTGTGGTTGTTTGTCATACAAGTTCGTTGGATCCTTCGTCAGCTTTGCAACAGTCGGGCTGGTCGGTCGCATCAGTCTCATGCTGTATGTGTGAATCAGGATGCGACAGAAAAGTCGAAAGCGCTGCTTGGCAGGACCTGTCTTTCACTGTTCCAAGTCATTGTCTTTTTGGTGAGGGGTTTGCAGGACAGCTGAAGACTTCATATCCGCTCCAAAGTACTACTACTCGGAGCCCTTGCCAGTGTGCATGCGTGTGCCGTCATGATCACTAACCTCGCGGAATTCCGATACCACGAACCCGCTTTGGTCGTCGAGTATCCTTTTAGGGGGCCGTTCCTGCAAGGTCAGGAGATTGGACAGGCTTCCTGTGAAGTTTTGAGCCAGTGCCGAGCAACTCAAGCCATGCTGGGGATCTTTTGGTATTGTTCACCCCGAGCAATGAGAGACTGCCATCCTGGGGATAGCTTTGTTTGCTTGGATATGCAGGCAGTGCCAGAGAAATTTAATCTCAACCTTAATCACTAAGAGCACGACGTTTGGTAAGCATTTGGCTGTGGGTCAAAAATAGGTACCCAAAATGGAACCCTGGTTTAATTTTGACTCATACCCATTTGGTTCACGTGGGTTGTTCGCAACCTATGCCAAAGCCACACTTGTGACCCTAGAACTCCCATGGCTTTTGACTGAAGGGCTCGTCTCACAGATTAGGAACCCAACATGGTTCTCCACTTGGCTTTGCAGCTCCAAGATGAGTATCCTCAACAAAGCACCCTTGTGTTTGATATTGGGTTTCCTTTTCATTTTGTAACTTCGCGCCTGCCGCACTGGTGTGATGGAGTGTCCGTGATTTGCTCTGCTGGATGTCATCTTGGATGCAGGATGTGGGTAATACTCTGGATGGACAAAATCCTGCACCACTTTGAAACCATAGGAAACCATTGTTTGTTGGTATTTACAGGAAACCATCATTCGTTTCTTTGGTGGTGCAGAATTCCGGCCATCCACAGTAGGGGACTCAAAAGAGTGAAGCCTCCTCCGCGGCTCTGCGCTAGGAGCTGCGCTTGCGGCGAAGATGCCTCCTGCCAGCCCGCGACCAGGCACTTGGCTCGCGTGCAGTCAATCTGGGTCGATGGTTGCCGAGGGAAATGTCATTTCGAACC